TCCAGGGTCCATCTAGGGAACCCAGCCAGGGGCAACAGGAGATAGGGCTGAAGACAAGATTACACCATAGGTCCATAGAGGAGGCAGAGGTGAATAGGTCCACCTGGGAAACTAGGACAGATGTTAGGCTAGAGGCTGGTACTGCTACAGCATAGCTCAGGCAAAGGCTGGAGGCTTAAGTGGATGTCCTGGACAGGCAGTGCAGATGGAGATACCAGGAGAGGTCAAGGCCCACTAAGGCATATTAAGGCCCTGACAAGCACAGAAAGGTTGAGATGTGCTGGACATGAGCTGCCGTGTGGTCCATGGACTTCTTTGGACTGAGTCCTCCACTGTCTGTCTTAGCTTCAACTTCATGGAGACAAAACTTCTACCATACTGGTTGGGAGTCTGGTTGTGTCAGACCTTAACGATCAGAGTATGGTAATTTGGAGTTTGCTGACTCTGCACCACTTAGTAGTGGTCTTCTTGACGTCTTGACTTCTCCCTGCCCAGCAGCAGCTTCAGCAAAGTGGAAGGAGAAGTCAGTGTAGTTGAAGAAGACAACTAAGAGACAAGACCTTTAGATCCTGTACTTGACCTATCTGTGAGCAATGGCAAAAGATTGTCAAGCCATGCCACCTCTGTCTGCCTCCATGTCCTCAACTGCACCACCATGATGAGGACACTCACCGCAGTGATGATTAATGGGGGTTAATGAGTAATGGGATGACACCAGGAAGAAGAAACAGCACAGAAAAACACAACCAGTGACCACATTTTCCTAGAGATTTTCCTGGAATACCCCATGTGTGATGGGATCCTGGAATTAATTTCATTATTGCTGCCAAGAGGGGTCAAGAGGTTACAGATGTAAGAAATTCTAGCAGTTGTTAAAAAGAAAGAAAAGAAGAAAAGATAAGTAAAAAAAGAAGAATATCATGTGTTGCGTACAGATCTTTTTATTTCTGGTGTCTGGCCAGTCTTTTAGTTCTGGGAGTCAGGATGAGATCTTTATGGGGACCAGATGAACCCCATCGACATCCTGTTGGCCTTTTCAGTCTTCTGTTGAGCTGGGGCTGCTGCTCACTGTCAGGAACAAAGCAGCGAACTTGGTAGGATTAAAACTGATCTCGTCTGACTATTCTATATTCCTTGTGAAAACAAAGCCTTCATGGCACCACATGCACTGTTGCATGAGTGTAATAAATGTGTCCTTGAGCATATTTGTAGCTCTCTGTATGGTAGCTGCATGCTTTCAAATTGCACCGCTGCATTTAAACAAAGTGCCATTGAATCACACTCCTGCTGCACTTTGCGAGGCTTTATCAAAGCACTTGGGAAAGTCATTTCTGTTTCTCAGCTGCTTCATCAGGCTGTACTTTGTGCTACCCAGGCACCAGTGAAATTGCCATGTGCCATGGCACAACACCTCCCTGTGGTTTTCCCAAGGGTTTGCTAGGATTTGCTTTGGGCCGGGTTGTCCAGCTGCTAGGAACTAATATGTCACGGAGCCGGGGGTATAAATTCAGATAGTCAGTTCCTTGCCATACCCTGCCTTTTCCAGGGATCACCCTTTAGTCCCTGTAATCAAGCCACAAAAGCAGCAGTGTCTTTCATTTCCAGTGACTTTCACATCAAGGAGACGATTTGTTTGCTCAACGAACAAAGGCAGGAGCCATCTGCTGAATTTTGCTCGTGGTCGGACGTCACAGGCAGGCTTCTGAAAACACCCCCAAAGTAACAGCTCATCCACCAGATCTGGACTTGTGTAACTGTGGCGCGATGAGCACTATTCTTAGGGACAGCATTTCGGTGGAGTCACACCTCCAGGAGGTGTGAATCTAGCCCCTGAAAAGAGCAGATGAGAATAATCCATCACCCACAAACAACTTCGCTCTCATGTCAAGCTTCGCATCTGGAGAGCTTGAGGCTGATGGTAGGTAACCACACTTGAGTCTATTTGTTTAGGACCCAAGTGCACATAGGGGCTGCTCGCAGTCAATCAGAAGTCTAGGGCAGACCTGGGAGTAAGTATAAAGCTCCTGATTCCTGTCTTTGTGCTTGGCCCATAGAGCTGCTTTTCTTGTATGTTTGATAATTGTAAATCTGTAGCAGAACCAGAAGTTTTGGTAAAGCCTCTTAATACTTAATTCCTGCTTCTAAAATATTTGCTCTCTATCACTTTTCCTATATGGGAGTGTTCCTCACTGAAGGCAGCACAGAAGAGGTAAGGCAGGTGATATATTGGAGGCATTGCTTATAAAATGGTGGCTACATATGGACTGTTGAACACACTGTAGTGCTGCAGGTTCCCATCGTACCCCTCCTGCTGCACAGTCAGGCTCTATTACAGCTCTAAAGGAGTGACAGGGTGTGATAGTGTTAAGCATCGCAGAGCAGCACAAGATCAAGTGCAGAGGCCAACTGAGATTTCCCTGTAGTCAACTGAGAGCCTGAGCTGTCAAAGCGTGCAGCCCTGGAGTATTACAAGAAAACATAAATGATATCTTACACAGAGCTTCAACTGTATCAGCGATGTGGGAATGCAGAGCTTTGAACTGGAAAGGCTGAAGTTTTCCCTTGTTTGTTTTTATCATTTAATATTGATATTTGTTTTGTCCCTGAGGGCCATGAACAAGTTACTTGCTGAACTAGAAATCTTAGTGATTGTGAGGAATTCCTTTTTTTGGTGCTGAGTTTTGATTATAGATTCTAAAATAATGAGAAGATCCACCATAATACTCCTTGTCTTTACCCTGAGGTCTGTAGTGTGCCAATGTCACAAAAGATGGTGTGTGTTAAACAATATCATGATCCTGAACTAGTATGAAAAAAATACTGGGTGTCCAGATTTCTGCAGTTAAGCCTTTGGAAGCTGTTATGTCTGGGGTTTTTATCATGCCTAATGGCAATAGGAAACAAAATGAATGGCTTTAGTTCATTCAATGGTTTTCCTGACGTAATTAATGGACAGAAATAGAAGGCAGGAATTGAACTAAACCACTCCCATTCTTTTCTTATCCCCCTCTGAGATTTTTGCAGGCAATGATCTATAAACTGTGTGAGTGTTTACTGGGTAGTTTTTCCCATGTTATATATGACCCTCAGAAGTCTGTTGATGCACAAAGGTCAGGTCCCCTGCACTTACTCTTTCCCGCATTACTGTCTTTTCTGTTTTTTAAGTAAGTGACCATGATATTTTTCTGAAGCTTAGTGGTCAGGGAGCATCTTTAGAGCCATTTTTAATCAGAAAATCTGCCATTCTCTGTGTCTGGTGGACACAGATTTGTCAAGCAGTTTGGTTCTCTGTATGTTGGGTTTCAGAGGATGCTGCTATTCCATTGCTTCTGTTTTAACAGTGTCCATAGACCCTGCGAGCAGCACATATCCCATGGTGAAGAATTTTGAAATGAACCGAATCGTCAAATGAACAAAATGAACAAAAATCTAAATGAACAAAAATGTCATTTAGATCCACACTAGGACATGGCTGCATGTTGCCGGGAGATAGGCAATATCATTCATATGATGATTACTGATAAACATCTTTTCTTGCTGGAGTGCAATCAATGGGAGGATTTGGCTAGCTCTTCCATGAAGGGCGTTTCAATCTCTGCTCCTTTAGAGACTTACTCATTAGATTGTACAAGGGGTAAAACATGAAGTTAATGCTGAAGAATGTTGCCGTACTTTGTCTGGACATAGCAAAATCCAGTAGCAGCCTAAAATGGAATAGTTTCCCCCATGTACACATTATGGTGGTAGTCTTCAATAATTGGTCTAATGGTGGAAACACACTAATGTGTTTCAGTTTAGATTGTCATGATCCTGGATAATGCATGGATTGGAAATGACTTATGATTCATACTTAATAGCTCCTGTCCTCCCACCAGCTTAGCAATATCTAAAGGCCATTAAAATACTATATCTGTCCTGTTAAACCAATGAATCTGTTCCTGAATGAAGGTGCAGTATGTAATATCTGCCTCCTTGTGCTTTCACACCTTAGGCCCTGGGAGTGGGTTAATAGACATCTTCTAGAGACCTTCTAGGAGGGAAATTTTAGATGTGCTGGCAACAGATGGCATACATGCTTCCAGGACTAAACCAGGATGAGTGCTTGATAAACTTAATGTGAAAAGAAAATCTAGCACACCTTAAAAACTGACCGGATAGCCCAAGCTGGTGGGCTCAGGCTCTAAGCGAGCCTTTCTCATAGGTGGCAAGAGTTGGACCAGAATGTGCTTTCTTTGAAGAAGAAAACACCCAGTTCTTTAATCTCAACTGTGGGTCTTTCTCTGGTTTGAAGAAGACAGAGGGAAGCAGCCACTGCTTGTGCTTGGAGGGGTGTCTGCCTTAGAAAAGGAAACTGGAAATAGGGAACAAAACTGCAACTTCTTACTGAAATGGTGAGTTCTTGTATTAGTGGTGGCTTGCACAACACCAAAGTCAAGTGATCTTTGTGGAAGAGAAACAAGCCACCTCTCTGAGCTGCTGAGTTGAGAGGCTGCTGAATCAGCTAAAAATAATAATGTCATGTTCTGCTCCTGGGAGGATTTAACAGCTCCTGTGGGGTTGTCCAGACAAATGGTGCTTCAAAGTCTCAGGCGAGTAATAATTATTGACCTAGCATGTGTTTTCTAACACTGCTTTGTAGAATTTACCAACAAAATTGTTGTCTTCTAGATAGTGTTTTTAATTCTGTTTGTGCACCATGTACGTAGGAAGACTATTGATAAAGGGAAGATGCATCTTTGTGAGTGACTACATATACCTGTATCTACCTGCAGGTGCACTGGCATAAACTTAGAATCGTGTTTTCACCAGTTCCGATTGGAATTGTGTCTGTTTATCCAAGCTTGGCATGGTTGTGTGGGATAAAGGAAATGTTTATTGCACTGCTGATAGAAACAATGCTATTGCTAAATATAAGCAAGTAAAAACACAGTTGAAATGGGTTGTGCTGTAATTTTGTTTCCTGTTTTACCAATTCTATTTATTTTCCTTATGTCCTACAGAACAATTCAATTAAAACATCGAAATACAACTTCTTCACTTTCCTGCCTCTCAACCTGTTTGAGCAGTTTCAGCGAATAGCCAACGCTTACTTTCTTTTCTTGCTGATTTTGCAGGTATGAATTCACTGTGCTTTTTCTAGAAGACTGCAGTGTCTGTTATCAAAGCCTGTGTGTTGATAGTTGTAATAAAGTTCAAGCTATATCCCTCTTGTGAATTAACATCTTAGCAAAACCTTAAAGTATATAGAAAATAGGTCGGGCAAAAAAGCAATTTCCTCTCTTATCTTTGGATATGAGGGTTTGAACTAAATGAATAAAAAATGTAATTAAAGTTTTCAACAAATTGTGCACCTTTTTCATACCCTGTCCTACCACCCCTTTTTGTCTGCATCTGAGTGCTCCTGGCTGTCCTTGGATTTCCATTACTTATTCCTCCTGTAGTACAGAAGGAGGTTGTCTCTTATCCATAGTTTTAAAGCCAAGTTCCACTGGCAGTCTCAAAGAAAAAAGCATGAAGAACAAATTTGTAACCTGTACTGTTTTTTTTCTGGGAAGGAAGGAGTTAACCTCAGGGAGGCTCAAGACTGGAGCCAGTTTGCATGAAGCTGAATATTGCTGCTGCTGGCTCATCAGGGTGAGCAAGGTGTCTAACATGGAGCGTGCCACACACTGGCAACTCTGTTGAGCCCTGTGGCTCATAATGGCATTGGGTTGCACTTTGCCCATCATTGTTGGTAATACTACTCTGTCTGAAAGCTGAATACACTGGAGAAATTGATATCAGGGTTTCTGCCCCTTTGCACTTTGCTAGAATATGGATAAATGTAGTGTGCTCTGTTGTTACTGAGTCATACTGGGATGCACATTATCCAAAAAAGGGTATGATGTTGATTATGTTTCAAGTATGATATTTTGAATTTTATATTTTCAGTGCACACAAGTTTTCAAAATTACCCTTTTCAAGTGCTCTTTTTCAATTTCAGCTCAAAAAAAGCACAAGCAGCATGGGTTTTTTTAAGCTGTAACAGAGTGCATACAATCTTCTTTTCTTATTTACAGGGAGTGAATTTGGGAAATTTCAGCCCTCTTCAATTTTTCAAGAGTCTAGTTAAGGTGCCTTTTCAGCTAAGCTGACAGCACTATTCCTGTGTTGTTGTACTGCACTCTAGCTGTTTGTCTATCAAATTCATAGCATTTCAAACTATTTGCCTTAAATTAGTTCACTGTCTTTTGCTGAACCATCTAAGCACAACTGTATATAAAAGCATACAGCTTTTTCTGCTAGGTGCATCAAGGTGGGCTAGAGAGGGCAGCCATTAGTCTTTTGTGTTTGCATATTCCTCCACTTACCATTTTCCTCTCTTTCCACTGACTCCATCTCTCTGCCCCTGGAGTTCCTCTTCCTGCAGCAGGAGTGGATGTGATGGGGAGGCTGTGGGAACTCTGCAATCCACTGGGGACTTTGCAATTCTAATTTACAAACAACAATAAAGGGCAACCCACTATGCTTCCTTACAGCTCCATGTTTATAATGTACATTACAGCTTGTTTTTAAGCAAAGCATGGGTTCTCTTGCTCACCTATCTCTGTGGAATAATGTATACGTAATAGAGCTGCATTTCTGTCCCTATTCTGTGTTCAAGTACCATAGGAAAATGTTGCCTGCAGCTTCCACAGAAAACAGTGGCTTTTTCTGTCTTCCTGTCTTGGCAGGAAATCTCACAAGTCATATCTTTTCCTCCTACAGTTGATTCCTCAGATTTCCTCGTTGGCCTGGTTTACAACAGTGGTGCCCCTAGTGCTGGTGCTGGCTGTATCGGGAGTCAAGGATGCCATCGATGATTTTGTAAGATCTATATTACTGACCTGTACTTTGGAGTTTGCCTGTGATTCGTCAGCACAGTGACAAAAGCAAATCACTTAAAACAAAGCTAGTGGCAGGCAGCTGGAGAACTGGTCTGTGGCCAAGATGGGGTCTGAGACTAGATCCCCAAATCTATCATTTTTTACCTAAAAAGGAAATAGAATTTCCAAATCACTGAGCACACCAACAGCTGCATTTACTTTCTTTGAAACCACTCATTGTGTCTGAAAATGTGGTCACTGATAGGTATGTCTGTACACATTCATGAAAGTCTGATCTTAGTCTTCTACTTTGGAGAACTCATCCTCTGCCACCTAGCTGCAAAGCAGGTGGATAAAAACATGTGGTAGGAAGTAAGCTTCCATGTGGGACTTTTCAAACTTGTCCAGCTTTGGCAGTCTGTTCCCATCAGAGCTAATGGTCAAAGTCCCATTGACTTCATTGGGGTAATGTTAGAGCTGAGTTTGGCATCTGATTTTCTCTCATAATTAAAATAATTTTGATGCTCTGTGGAGACTTATTTCAACTTTGCAAGTAGGGGAGTGAGAGGTGGTGAGGTGCTCTCCCAGGAAGCAATGCTGGAACATCTGTGGCCACTTTCCATGTCAGAGCAGAAGAATGGATTTCTCTGTTGTGTTGGCAAAACCAACACCAGCTGAGTCAAGACTGTGCTAAGTGGCATACAAGGCTCTACTCTCCTTCTGCCCTCCCAGAGCGAGCCCTGTGTTGCCTGCTGCTCTTTGTAGCCCAGTTATGCCTTATGTTACTAGTGTAAATATAGGGTGGACTATGACTCAGTTGTAACTAATCTGCCGGACCCTTTCAAGCCAGCTGTGTGAAAACCTAAAACGTTAATGAACTACAGCTCTTGTGCACTTGTTTTCTTGGAAATACCTTTTAACATACTGATCAAATTTTCAGAATCGCCACAAAAGCGACAAGCACGTCAACAACCGCCCAGTCCAGGTCCTGATCAATGGCACGTAAGTCCTTTTTCTTTTGCTGCAATGTTGACTGGGAAGAGCACTTTATTAATAATATATATATTTATGTGTGATTTCCAAGGATCACTAAACAATTTAAAATTTAATTGCCTTTCACACCATTAATTCACTGTGCAGTTCTGGACTGTGTCTGGTTAACGGCTCCAAGGCACAGTACCACAGTCTGTACAGACGTCATGGCTGTGACTTTGCACTGACAAAAGGCAAGCTCTCTGTCTTCCAGGGTATATATATGTTTCAATGAGTGATACTTTGAGACCACTGCTTTATTTTATGCCTGACCCCAGAAGTGACAGATCTAATGAAAGGTGTCCCTGCCCGTGGCAGAGGGATTGGAACTAGATGGTCTTTAAGGTCCCTTCCAACCAAAACCATTCTATGATTCTATGACAATCAAGGTTATCTTCCTATATCCACTTATATTCACAGCATTTATTTCTGCATTAGGCAAAACCAGGCATTATCAACAAAGTATTTTAAATAAAGAAGCAGGAATAGCTTCCTTATACATGCCGTAATACTTTGAGTGTGTATAACAGTTCAGACTTAGATGTACTGGAGGCCCTTCAGCTGTGTGCTTTGGACATCGTACTGCTAGCACTGTCCTTTCCTGCAGAAAAAAATAGCAGAGGCTTTGGCTTTTGTGGGAGACAGATGTGCTGTTTACTTGAGGCTCCATGGAGCTGAACTGTGTGCGGGACACAGCTGTAGACAGCTGTGAGGTCTCTAGTGACTTTTTTTTTCTGTGCTATAGATAGCAGTATGTTGTGCAAACTCAGATGATCAGTTAAGAATATAACTTGAAACCAAAGAACAGGAACATACTTTTTGTGCTTTCTACTAAGTAAAAAAATTTTGTAGTTTCCTGTGTATTAGTTACTGTGTCTAGAAAACATACATTGAAATGGAAATCTTCTAATATTTTGCCTTTGTTCACAAACTGGAAGCCATAGGTACTGCCCAACTCTGGCCAACACTGAAAACACAAGGCTGAGCTGAACTCAAGCTTGTATACCTGGTCCTGTTTTGATACAGCTCTTGATACTTCTCCCCTCACTATTAGGCACATGTAAGCAAAGCATCTGCATTGACCTTCCTGACAGCCAAGCCCACACAGAGTCAGATCTCTTGTTCTGGCCCTTAGTAGCACATAGAAAAACTAACCCAACTGGCAATTATCCCAGGTGTTTGTAAAGTCTGTTATGCAAAGCAGAGAGTTTTTGCCAGAGAGAATGTAAGCTGTTTAGAAGAAAGAAGGGACTAGTCAGTCATAGAATTGTAGAATAGTTAGGGTTGGAAAGGACCTTAAGATCATCTAATTCCAACCCCCCTGCCATGGGCAGGGACACCTCACAATTAAACCATCTCACCCAAGGCTCTGTCCAACCTGGCCTTGAACACTGCCAGGGATGGAGCATTCACAACCTCCCTGGGCAACCCATTCCAGTGCCTCACCACCCTCACAGTAAAGAACTTCTTCCTTATATCCAATCTAAACTTCTCCTGTTTAAGTTTTAACCCGTTACCCCTTGTCCTATCACTACAGTCCCTAATGAAGAGTCCCTCTCCAGAATCCCTATTGGCCTCCTTCAGATACTGGAAGGCTGCTATGAGGGTCTCCACGCAGCCTTCTCTTCTCCAGGCTGAAGAGCAGCGCACACATTGCTATTGTGGCCTACAGTCTGGCTTCAGGAGCCAAGCTGAGTATCCTGTGTTCCCTAAGTAGTATTTGCTTTATGTGCCTACTTACTAGGACCTGTCTTGCAGGTTAAAGGATGAAAAATGGATGAATGTCCAAGTGGGGGATATAATAAAACTAGAAAACAACAACTTTGTGACGGTGAGTACAGCTTTTCTCCATCCTGCTCTCAGTCAGTCTCTGTAAATCTCTGTAATTACTCTCACCACTCAAAAGAAAATTAGTCAGTGGTGATGATAACTGCCTCGGAGACCTGCAGTGTGCAGAAACCGCAAGTAGCATTGCAGTGACATGCCTTCTGACCATGTGAATTCATGCCCAGTCTGTCTGTCTGTGTTCAGGCTGATCTACTGTTACTGTCAAGCAGTGAGCCACACAGCCTGACGTACATCGAGACAGCTGAATTGGATGGGTAAGTAAGCCTGGCTCTTGAGTGCAACCACTACTATCAGTGCAAGATCAAATCTCTGGTGACCCTGGGTGCTGCAGGCTTACCTGCAATATCTCTGGTAGCACACATTTCCTAATACATAGGATAAACTTTGGGTAGGTATCTTGAAAAATAACATCTTCTGGTGGATACTTTTGGCCCCTTTCAGTGCAAATACCGTGTGAGGAGGGGACTTTATCATAATTTCTTCTAACACAGAGAGTTAGTTAGAAACCTGTTCCTGCAGTATCACCGATCACTGGCAGAAGCTTTCTGTTTCTTGTATTTGCCCCTTAGTCTTTTCTCTTAGCTGGATTATCCTGGTGAGATAATCACAATGAATACCTCCAGTAATCTCCTTTGGACCATAATATTATAATATTAATGCGTGCACACTGCAAAGGCTTCCAATCATTGCTTGCTCCAGGGCATAACTGGCCAAAAGGCAGAGAGCTGCAACTGATTTATATAGAGCTCTATTAATTTATATAAACTGGAGCTGACCATCTTTATGGCCCAATTTACATTACCTTTTCTGCATTGCCTGGACCTAGCATCAGCTTGAAGAACTAAACAAGACCACAGATATCAAAAGTTGTGTCTCTCCTAGGACTCTACAGATACCCCTCTGGATTTTCCCTATCTGATTTCTGCTGAAAAGGAGCTTGTAGTTCCTGGCAGATGATTTGTGAACACTGAACAAATGCTGTGTTTCTTTGACATTGCATTTCAAACCTCCCAGCTACTCAGTTTCAGGATCCAGGATCAGAATACCGTAGGAGAAGATTCAGAGCTCTCCTATATGCTCAGATACCTCAGGATTCAGTGTGGTGTGAGTGGCAGGATGGACAGGGAGATAGATGCTCAGGGAGCTGAGATGCCTGGTCTTGTATTTGTGAAAAAGAGAAGACAGAGCCACCCTTTTTGGCACCATGGTACCATGTTCAGAATTCCTCTGGACCACCTGTCTTTGCCACTGAAAAAGACAATTACATCCTTTAGCCGCATAAAACAGGTACATGGTGGCATGGTCCCATCAGATGTCTCGGGAAGAAGGCAGTCCTCAAGAACAGAAAGTAGCTCTCGGGGAGCTTTCAGTTCACGTATGACTTTTCAGCTCATGTTTCTGTCTCATGTTATTTGTTACAGTGAAACAAACCTGAAGGTGAAGCAGGCATTGACAGTCACTGCAGAGCTTGGAGAAGATCTTCAGAAACTGACAGAGTTCAATGGTGAGTCTATATAGAAAGTTCATTTTCCAGAAGGTCTGCAGAAAACACCAGATTCCAAACAGTTCTTGGGAGTGCTGCTTCCTGCTGGGACTCCTCTGGTTGCAGGAAACTAAATGTAGTCTGTACAACAGATACCAACAGCATATGTAGAGAAAGAGGTCCATCTTTGCTTGCAGGTCTCAGTGCTGGGCATGGCTATAACCTGAAACTGCATTTGTGGCTATTTGTCTTCTGGCTGCACACTTTTCTCTATCATTTCTCTGTACATGTTGAAACTGCCCACCTTGAACCTCAGTAGAAGAGTTCCTGTAGTTGCACAGTGGAAACTGTATTCCCAAAACTTCATGCTTGATCTCAAATAATTTCATACTGCACTTTTATATTGATGCAGCAATGCTGATTCATCAATTACATTTAAATTCTGAGCAGGGGCACTTCCCAGACACTGTGCAGATCTGAGGACTAACTCTGTGCACCCACGACAGACGACTGCTTTCCAGCCTGATGCCTCACCTTGCCAGCATTTCTCTTCTTTCTCAATGCCACAATAAAGACTGCATTTTGAGATATTTAAAGACAAGCAGTGCAGATGTGGTTAATGGGCAATGTGTCCTTTCTTAGCACTGTTTTGTATATCAAAGTAGGACAGGACAGGACAGGACAGGACAGGACAGGACAGGACAGGATAGGATAGGATAGGATAGGATAGGATAGGATAGGATAGGATAGGATAGGATAGGATAGGATAGGATAGAAGGGGATGGGATGGGATGGGATGGGATGGGATGGGATGGGATGGGATGGGATGGGATGGGATGGGATGGGATGGGATAGGGCGGGATGGGATAGGGTGGAATGGGACAGGATGGGATAGAACAGAATGTTTCAGTTGGAAGGGACCTGCAAAGATCATCCAGTCCACCTGCCTGACAAATTCAGGGCTGATGAAAAGTTTATGTTGTTAAGGGCATTGTCCAAATACTTCTTAAACACTGACAGGTCTGGGGCATCAACCACCTCTCTAGGAAACCTGTTCCAGTGTTTGACCCACCTCTCAGTAAAGAAATGCTTCCTAATGTTCAGTCTGAACCTCCCATGGCACACCTTTGAACCATTCCCACACATCCTGTCACTGGATACCAGGAAATATATAGCAGCACATACACAGAAAGAAGCCAGACCTGTTTAAAACAGAATGCTCCATGCTCACACATCATCTGTCTGCAGAGAGAGGATGGGGGAACAGTCCAAGTGGTGTTAGTCATGCTCTGCAGTGCCCTGGCTTAGATACAAGGGCACAATTATGGGAAGAGCAAGTACGGAATGGGTGGAGTGAGTGCTGCTGTCCTTGGAACATCTCAAGGACTGCAGGATCTCAGGAAATACTTTTAGATAAAAAGCAAGAATAATTTTTTTTTAAATTATTTTTGAAATAACCAGGTGATTCCAGGACACGTGGTGGGGACTGTTTATGGTGAAATCATGCAAAGGCTTTTCTTATGCCTTCTACATTGAGGTTTTACACAATGGTGTGCATGGTCTCAGCTGAGTGTCAGCTCAGTAAATCAGAATTTCTCTAAAGTGACAGCTGAGTTTCTGAGTGTTGAAGGTCTTGAGAAAGATGGTCTTACAGGTGCAGTTAGATGCTTTAGGTTAATAGTGTCATGGTTTAAGTCCGGTCTGTAATTCAGAACCACATAGTCGCTCGCTCGCTCCCCCACTTCCTTCCCCCCCTAACTCCTGGAGGGATGGGGAGGAGAATGTAAAGAATGTAACTCCCATGGCTGAGATAAGAGCAGTCCAGTAACTGAGGTATAACACAAACCACTACTGCTGCCACCAATAATGATAATGATAAGGGAAATAACAAGGGAAGAGAATACAACCACTCACCACCCGCCGACCAGTACCCAGCCCGACCAAGCAGTGATCGAGCCCTTCTGGGTAACTGCCCCCAGTTTATATAGTGGGTATGACGTGCTGTGGTGTGGAGTACCTCTTTGGTTAGTTTGGGTCAGGGGTCCTGTCTTTGCTTCCTCCCGGCTTCCCCTCCTCCCTAGCAGAGCATGAGACTCAGAAAGTCTTTGGTCAGACTAAACATTACTGAGCACCAACTAAAAACATCGGTGTTATCAGCGCTGTTCTCAGGCTGAAATTCAAAACCACAGCACTGCACCAGCTCCTAAGAAGGAGAAAAAATGACTGCTACTGCTGAACGCAGGACAAACAGAGTGGTATGCCTTCATTATTTTTTTAAGGTGCTGCACTGTCAATTTGTAAGCAAAATCTTTAGCTTCAGTAATTTTTCAAACATTTTTTTGCATAATGCTTATCTAAGGGTACATCTTGAAAGTACGTAACGAAAAAAATGTTTCAAAATCTTTTGGAAAATGAAAACCTTTATTATCAGGTATTTATTTATCCTGTAAGTCTCTATTTTAGTTGTTTTGTAAGTAAAAGTGGCCTCTTCACAATACTTACACTGAGTAAAATGTTTCCCAGGATTATTTATGTTTAGCAGAGTACTGGGAAGAGTGCCTGGAATCATACCCAACAGTGCATTTCCCTTAGCAAACGTCTGCAGAAGTATTTAAATATTTATGTAACTCTTTATCTAATTATTTCTTAAGACAGGAAGAGAGGAAAGGGTTGAACAGCTAATACAGGCACTCAGTGGAATGCTTAATGTGAGTTGTGATCTTTGCTGACACTGTGATGGTTCAGATAAGGAAGATGCTTGCAAGGCACTGAACTTCTTTATTTGATTTTGGGAACTGGGACATGAGAAAGGAAAAAATACTTTCCAGTTACCTACTGCTTATCACATGTAGAACTGGTGGTCCTTAACACTTTTAGGTGAAATGCATTCCAGATTCTTTCTTGCTGTTCATGGGAGGAAGAGACATGAGGCATGGTACCTTGCTGAGGTACCTTCAGCTGCAGGTTGCCTGGGGGCAATGCAGGTATTTTGGGTGAATCTCCAGAGCTTCTCACTTTTTTATGACTAATGTAATAATCAGGATCTCTTCTGATAAAAAATCAGCGTATCAGTAACCCAGACTCAGCTACTTACTGGAAAGCAGACATAGATGTTGGCACACAAGGTACTTGCATGGGGATTGTCCCACAGCTGGGATTAGGAGATGTACAGTCTTCCTGGTGGGGGATCACACCAAGGGCTTGGTTCACCAACCTGTTGTTGTGCTGTGCTTCAGGTTGCACCGCAAAGACTGTTTCATCTGTGCTTTTCAAAGGGTTGCAAGGGCTGCAGTGGGACAGGCCTGGTTACTATAGACTTCTAGGAATGATGGAGCACAGATCTGATTGCTGTTGGATTAGCTAAGTGATAAAACAGAAGACCAGCATAGTCATTAGTATGAGCTCTGATGTCACAGCTGTCCCTGAACTTACTAATCACTTCATCTTTCACGTCTGATGATTTGTCTGAGCTAGGGTAGACCTACTTCTCTATGGAAAGAACATCCATTCTTGATTTCAAAATCTGCAACAGTGGAGACTACCACAACACTTAAAGTTGTATTTTTCTTCTGGACTTCTCTAGGTTTTGTTTCCAGTCTCTTGAGCCTGGTGTGTTTTCCCTGAGAACAGCTGGAAGAGCTGTATTCTCTGCAAATGCTAATCCTCATGCAGATATTTGCAGCCTGAGTTCAAAATAACTTTAATGTTTCTGCTGATTAACTGAACAGATTGAACTCTTAGATTCCCTTTCAATAGGCATATTTGTATTTTCTAGTTCTTTTCAATACATACATAGGGCTCTGGTTTGAATCATTAGATATCAGATGTAAATATTGATTTGAATAATATTTTTTGTACCAAAGTGCCTGTGTTTACAATATTGTGTGAAAATGTTTTATTACAAGAAATAAATATAAAGCATGGAGATAGAAACATGGTCTCCAATCACTTACAGCATCAGATACATTGCCAAAGAAGGTAGCAGTATTTTTTTCATTTGCCTCTGGGAGTTAAGTTATAAAGCAGGTGAAACAATAAAAAAAAATAAAGTGAGCAGAGGCACCTCACTTAATTACTCTTATGCAGCATTCAGGCTATGACTTTTCTCACTTGGACTCCCGCATAGAATCATAGAATCATAGAATAGTTAGGGTTGGAAAGGACCTTAAGATCATCTAGTTCCAGCCCCCCCGCCATGGGCAGGGACACCTCACACTAAAAAGTTTTAAAGAAAATGCAATAGGAATTATGTGAGGTTAACACTTAAAGTTATCCAGTGATATCCCACCACTATGAACTTGCTGGGAAAGGACTAAAAGTGCATTGCTGGATCAACATTTCTTCTCATCCACAAGAAACTGTAGAAACTTTGTTTTGGTATTCTACCAGTAAAATATTGCCATGTTAAAAGAATAGGATAATTCCAAATTCATTGCGATCCTTTAAATAATGACATGAATATGAGGAAGAAGCAATATGCCAAAGCATCAGTAAATACAAGATGGAAATGGTAGGGTCAGGAGTGGACTGCAGCTACCGTGTGAGATTTGGAACAGCTGAGAATGCAGTATTGACTGATATCTTTCTGGACCAAGATTTCCATCTTTGTCTGTACCTTCTTTTTATAGGTGAAGTAAAATGTGAGGCACCAAATAACAAACTGGATAAGTTCACAGGAACTCTTACTCTTCGAGGAGAGAAGTATGCCCTGGACAATGAGAAGATGTTGCTGAGGGGCTGCATTATTAGGAACACAGAATGGTGCTTTGGCCTTGTGATTTATGCTGGTAAGTAGTAAAAATCAATATGTGAATTGCAGAGCACAGCAGGAGTAGTAGGGAAGTATATCGCACCCAGCAAACACGAAGGAACCAGGTATTTTCCTCTTTAGGAATTAGGTTTCTACCAGGTACAAGAAAAAAAGCAAAACAAAACATGAGATCCCTTGGCTCAACTCTAGGCTGGAAATTGTGCATATTACAGGGGATTTTAATCTGACTTTTTTATAATGATCTATAAGAGAAAACTGGATTAAAAATGCTACATTACAACATCCAATTGATTAAGTATTTAAGGAAGCAGAAGTAGTCTTTTATTTCAGAAATGCATGCTGCAAAGTACTTGAGAGAAATCTTGGTCCATCAGCTTGAAAAAAATAAAAGAATTAAATCTGTTTAAGAATTAAAGCTGAATTATATCAGCCTTTGCTAGCACAGAGTGGGCCAACTGGAACTTTTCTTTCCCCCCACACTTGTTACAAATTTTTCACTCTTAACTGTTATTTGATTAAAAAAATCCCTATCATTTCTATATGATTGTAATCCATACTGGGATATCAGTTATCAATAATATTATTGTAGACCATTAGATCTATGCTTTTTACAAGCATAAACCTTCTATTGTTTCTCTACTGCTGTAGACATGTGAGATGGTGTATAATATGTCACCAATAACAGAGCATTGTCAGGTATTATGTGAAAAGTAATTAAACCTGAAAGGGAGGCTTGACTGCTGAAAGAAGAGAGCAGGGTCAGAATCCAGAATTAATGGCTATATGTGACTCTTCATACAATCTAAGGCAAATGACCTAACCTTCTTTGCCTAAGTTTCCCACCAGCACTGTAAGCTGTATGTACCTGCTTTCAAGAAAGCTGTGATGGGTAGTGATGCTGTAAAGTACACGGGGGTCTCAGAAGGAATCAGCTTTATAACAGCTAAGCTTTATTACCAAAATTAAGGGTGTGTTTCATCTCCAGGGCCAGACACCAAACTAATGCAGAACAGTGGAAAAACAACTTTTAAACGGACAAGCATTGATCGGCTCATGAATGTCCTTGTGTTACTGGTAAGTCTGATTTATGTATCTTCATTTCTTCAGATGTATTCATAATTTCGAGGTGCTCCACCTGTTTTTCCACACAAATGAGGAAATATCAAAAGTGACTAATGATAAAAAGAAAAATTATGTAGTAATTTGTTAGCAGCCTGAGTTCTGCAGCACCTCTGCCAGCCCATCTTGGAAAGCAAGGCTGTTACATTGGCAGCACTGAGGACCTTCTGAGCTTGTAATTTACTCTGATTTTCCTTGTTCTGCATTTTTTTGTGAGAATCATTTTGAAGACTCCAAATGCCTTCTTTCTCTAGTAGTTCTGTCATGTTCTATTTAAATGAACATTAGCAGTTCTCCCTCTTCCACCTGATTTCTTGGCATCTCTGCTGACACCTGCACAGGACTTGGTAATTGAATTTGTTAATTTACATGATGTAGCTCTGACTTAACACATTATGATAAAATAATAGACATGGTCTCATTAATACTCAAAAACTGGTGTTTTTAGCAGCTGGGAAATTTGAGAACGCTAATCTTACATAGCAGGCACTCTCCTCAAACTGGAAAACAGATCTGATTTGAGGGGAAAACTTGTCAGTGGTTTTAACAAATGGCAGAGAAATGGAGTAGAAGAAAACTGAATAGGGAATTTGGAATTTAGTGTTTGAATATGATTTGCCAAATCTCCTTTCACAAGTCAAGAGTCCCACCCAGAGATTCCAGTCTGCTTGGCCTCACTTCATGAACACAAACAAGATGAATTTACCTCCTGGCTCTGTTTAAAAAACTGAGCAAGTTGCAGCCAATTGCATCAGCCTCTGCCTGGGTTCTTGGGCTCTGATGGAGCTAAGGGTGTGTTTTTCTGCTTTACGCATTCTAAGACACCTAACATTTTGGTGTCTGAGTAAAGCTCTGTCCTACCCTCAGCACCAGGCTCTTTGCACGCCCAAGGGAATATGGCATCAGGTCCTTCCAGCTCTTTGGGTGTTGAAGGTCACAAAGCATGGTCATAAAAAGAGGCAGTATATTTTGCTCTTGAGTTTAGAAATATAAAGCTGCCACCACTTGCTATAAATAGCTTATTTTAAGTGTAATGAAACTTGTTCCACATTAACACAGACAAAGCTGTTTTGTGGCTAATTGTTGATAGAACTCCCAGGCCCAAAGCCGTATTTAAGCCGGGCTCACCAAAGAAGTCCTGGTTAAATGTTGTCCTGGTCTATCCCAACAAGGGTTAATGAGTGAATCTTTCCAGATGGCAACCATTGATGTTTGGAAGTGTTTCTCAGTGATCTAAGAGAGAAGTGAATGCTCCTCCACTGGGAAAGCACTAGTCATCTCCAGGAATTCTTTTTCTTCCAGAACCTGGTTTTCAGGAGGCCTGGGGGAGCACGTTTTCAGAGAAATAGGGATGTCACTTTCATCTCTTAAATAACTTTGTGCTTCAACACGAAGTGCCAGTAAAAAACCTGGGACAGTCCAACAGGAAATGTTTGTTGAAAGTCAGCTCCTTTACAAAAATCCTACCCAGTCCTGCAGAGGATTTTTTGCAGGCAGTGCATGGGCAGGACCAAGAGAGGGATGATGCTCATGCTGGGAAAACCCATGACCAGGCACAAGCCTATGATCAGGGCTTTTTTCACATCCTTCTCTTGCAGGGCTGTGGTTATGATTACAACACCCTGCACGCAGTTGTTTCTCCACACAGAAATTAATCTCCAGGGCCACTGTCAACTGCTCAGTTTTTTGCAGTTGTCTCAAACAGTACGTTAGTGAACTTTGTGTAAGCATGATTATTGCACGCGAGTTGAGTGTGCCGGATGATTTGACACGCCAAATATATATAAACCAAAATGTACATAAAGCAAGTGCGCCTGTAGGCAAGATCTGCTATGATACGGGATAGTTCAGCTGCTGTCTTGCCCTATATGTATTTCTGTTGCTGAATCACACATGATTCATACGTGTACTGTGATATTCTACAGACTGAAAATTTTTAGCCTGTAGGGCAGTGTGGAATCATTCAGGGTACAGTAGTAAGATCTTCTAATTAACTTCTTTTACAAGAAATTTACAGACAAGTTCTGCAGAGAGAAGTAACAGTTTTTACTTGACCAACAGAAGTATCTATTAAAATAGATAGAAATGGTAGGAAAAACTATGATACATAGTATGGTTGTCGTGGTTTAAACCCAGTCAGGTAATTCGTTCGCTCACTTCCCCCCCCTTTCTTGCCCTCCCCCTGCTCTCAGAGGGATGGAGAGGAGAATCGAAAAGAATGCAACTCCCACGGGTTGAGATAAGAACAGTTTAGTAACTAAGGTATAACACAAATCACTACTGCTACCACCAATGATAATAATGATAAAGGAAATAACAAGGGAAGAGAATACAACACCTCAGCACCAGCTGACCGATAACTCGCCCCCCAAGCCCGACCAAGCTCCGACCGATACCTCCTCCAACCCTGCAGTCTCCCAGCCCTTCCGGCTAACTCCCAGTTACATCCTGGGCATGACGTGCTGTGGTATGGAATACCTCTTTGGTCAGTTTGGGTCAGGTGTCCTGTCTCTGCTTCCTCTCAGCTTCCCCTCCTCCCTGGCAGAGCATGAGGCTCACAAAGTCCTTGGCCAAACCGAAACATCATTGTTATCAGCTCTGTTCCCGAGCCGAAAGTCAAAACACTGCAATGCACCAGCTACCGAGGAGGGGAAACATGACTGCTACTGCTGAACCCAGGACAATGGTACACAGTACCTGGAGGACCAGGTAAGGTCCTCCAGGCAGTTTCTATTACCAAGTTGCAGCCAGATATTTGAGGACCCACAGCTCAACTCTATTGAGATTGGATGTTCTGAAGCTATCTGCCCATGAGCACCTTGTTTAGGTGTCAACTTCAGACTTAAATCCCATGCTGTTTGAGGTCTTGTGTTACCAGATTGCCAGACTCTGCACTGTGTAATTTTGTCCTTGAAATAAAAGTGTCATAACTTCGCTGGTTTTCTTCTTTCAACCCTATGAACATTTTCCTGTGATTCATGCTGTCCAATCCAATTTCATAAAGGTCTTCTGATTAACCTGTATGTAATGAATTCCTTGTTTCTAAAATGCAATGTTTCCTTTTTTGTTAATTTTTTTGCTTGGTTTTTTTTTCACAGATCTTTGCATTTCTAGCACTGATGTGTCTTATTCTGGCCATTGGCAATGGCATTTGGGAGTATGATAAAGGCTACTACTTCCAAGTCTACCTGCCATGGGCAGAAGGTGTCAACTCTGCCTCCTACTCGGGCTTCCTCATGTTCTGGTCATATGTGATCATACTAAACACAGTGGTGCCCATTTCACTCTATGTCAGGTATGTGCTAGGAGCTCCTTTCATGTTTCATCTTAGAATTTAGACATTTAGCTTTTTGCCCTAGTTGGGAGCAGCATTTTCCCTAAACACAAATGCAACCTCATTGTGGATGACAGCACACAACTACAGCAACACTTTTCTTATTTCTGCTGCTTTGGAGGTCTGTAATAGGGTTGGAGAAGGGAGAGAAGTGAGTCCTGAAAGAGAAGATGGTTTTACATTTAAAGGGTAGGTGTAGGTTTAGGATGCTATAGGAGTAAGTCTGAAACCTGTGGTTAGCGTCTTGCTCTCTCCCACTTGCACTGCCAGAACAAAGTGAATGCCATGTTTTTTGCAGTGGTTGTAGGGCTTGTGTGAGGAGTGGATTGCCAGGTAAGTACGTGAAATCAGGTTGAGAATCCATAGTACTTGGTGCTACGTGAGCAGAGTGAATGCTGCCACTTCCTGGAGGATATAGTGCTATGTTGGTTATTGCAGATAAGCAAGTAGTAGTAAAGAGCAGGCAATGTGTCCATGATGCTCTCAAAACTTGACTGTAGGGTGTAGGCTAACTAGACCGGTGTAGTTTATCATTGGACCTAACTCTTCAGACAACTTTGCTACTAAGACTTTCTTTTGTTTTGGTAAATATGAGGAATTAATCCCGTTTCAGGTCAGTATGTCAGCCCCAAAGTGTAAATTCATGTAATCTGCAAGCTGATGTGTCTTCTTGGTTGTACTGAGCTACACAATGATTTGCTTGTTGTAGAGCTCTGTGTTGTTTGAGCTGTGGCTCTGCTCATCCCCCAGCCCTGGGGTCAGCCCAGCTCGGAGCCCTGCTGGAAACCAACCCCATCTAAGCATCACTCCCAAAACTGCACCGTGTGAAACCCATTGCTCCTGCCTTGTTTCTCAGTCTGGAAACTTCAGAAACTCTTCAAATACATTTGTAAGATGTTGCTTTAGAAATAAGGAATTCGCTGTAAACCTAACAGATCATTTCAGCGTGACATGCTTCATCATTGCATATAAATTGCATGGCTACAAGCCATTTAAAGACAACCTGATGAGTACACCCTGTCATTACTTTCAAAACTGTCTTCTAATCGCAGTTGTTAATGGTCATGCTGAAGATAGTGTCCCTTAAACTAATCAATATTCCATCACCTTCTCTTTCTGTTTCACCAGTGTAGAGATCATACGCTTGGGTAACAGTTTCTACATTGACTGGGACCGTAAAATGTATTATCCACCGAAGGACACACCGGCTCAGGCCCGTACCACTACACTCAATGAAGAGCTGGGGCAGATCAAGTACATCTTCTCAGACAAAACAGGAACTCTCACTCAGAACATCATGTGTTTCAATAAGTGCTCCATCAACGGCAAATCCTATGGTATGTCGTCTATCCATCTTATTCTCCAAGTTTTATTCTGTTGTGTGCCTCTTTGTTCACAGAGACTAAGTGTGATATCTAGAAGAGAGTGTCTTGAAAGAAGCTGCAGTGATCAAGCGAAGGGCTGACCATCAATGACATCACTTGCATATCTTAATAACCATTTTCTTATCCCTTGTTTCTCCTTTTTACCAACTTTTTACCTCCCTTTTTCTGCCCCAGTAGCATCCGAACTAAAGAACTAGCACCTCATTACTTTTTCCTCATTGGTCCCAGTTTTACTACACCTGTACTCAGATTTGGGTTTTTTTCTGATATGACTACCTAGGTAACAGCCTTTTATGGTACTGTTGACATGGTTACCCAGGTATTGCTAAGCTCAAAAAGCATAAAGGGGAGTAACTAACTCCCCCTTAACCACTTGTGAAATCAGCCATTCCTCAAGGGGTTATCTGCAAATTTTGTCAGCCTCTCACACTATCATCTCTTACATTCAGCAATTTCTCAGGTCATGAGGAGAGGTTTTCCACATCCCGTTCAGGAAGCTGAACCTTTGGTCAATGGCCTTGTCCTTTGGTTTTAAGCCCTGACATACTTCACCTACCAGAGAGAGAAAAGTTTGTAGGGAGCTGGAAAAAATGGGAAACAAAAATTCTTAGTTCTGTTAGATCCTAACAGAAAATGACTTAGAATGGCTCCCACATTGTATGGCCCCGGGCAGTTTTCTTCATACTGCTCAAGAAGTGCTAACAATTCGCAATCTGACTAATTGGCTATCACCATTAAATTCCTCAAGAGAAATTAGTCACATCTTATTCAGAGATTGATGCTTGTTTTGCCTGTGTCAGACCGACTGATGACTAGTGTACCAGAAAGCATGTCTTTTTTTCCTCAGTGCTATCAGCTAGCCTAATAAAAGAAGTCGTTTCTTCCTATAAATCTTGTTTTGTGTGTATATTTGGAGACCAGCATATCTCTAACATCACTACTATGCTAGCCAACATTAGTGCTGCTAAACAGTCTGAAAATACTGTCTGTTCCTTCATACGTTCTCAGTTGATGTTTCCAAAGCGGATGTCACCACTAGGATAGATATAGGGATGGGATTCAAGAAATGAATGGCAAATATTTAGAGGGCAGAAGGTCTACTGCATATAGTTTTTTAAATGCTTAGCTTCTTCTTAGGAATGTGCTTTGAAGCTGCTACTCACAGGCATATGGAAAGCCATGCCAGAAAGTATGAGTTAGTCCTGCTGCCATGGAAGGTGCACCGGAAGGTTGAGCTTCCTATTGGGAATGAGGTGTCCAAAAGCTTCTTAGTTACAATTCTCAGGGAATCAACTGATGTGCAGGTCTCAGGAGATATGACTTCTCTCTGTAGATGAGTTTCTTCTACACTCTCAGGGCCTTTGTGAAGAAGTACAAGTACCTACAACTGACTTCGGTCACATTTGAGGTTGCTCATGCAGATATGGATCTATCATCCATGCAATTCCCTGCATTTTAGACTTACTTCAATGCAGTGTTGAATCTGGCTGGGCTGAGCAGAGTCTAAATCTTCCAGGTGAAATTATTCTTCAGGTAAAAGAAGTTCCATTAGTGTTTTCTGGAGATGGCATGTCTTCCATGATGCTTGAAACACAGTCTCCAGTGACTATGTCAAGATACTTACACTTACTGAAGCTTTTCAATTAGACACTAGCTTCAACACACTTTGACCAATTTTTGCTGTAGAGAAGCTCAGAGACTACACTTACCTGGAATTTGCGTCTATAACCTGTCTTTCTTGATTGCAGGTGATGTGTACGATATGTCTGGGCAAAGGATAGAAATAAATGAGGTAAGTGCTAAAGTGCTATCAGGATCTGAGCTTTCACTGAACCTGCTGCCTGCCTAAGTGCTAATGGACACAACCTACACAGGCATAGTTCATGCTCTTGACCCTCCAAGAACTGATGCTCTTGACCCTGACAACAGGGATGTGTGTTATTATGGATGTCAGAGGATTGCCAGCATTACATTCCCTTCTAATGTCATTCAAACCTGCAGGCTGGGTAGCCTGAGTGCCCACTGTTCCCTTAGCTTCACACGACACCCTTGTGCATGCACAATTCCTCTTGAATATTTGCCCTTTGATGTTTGTTGGAAACTTGAACATTGGTGAATTTTATTATCCTTGGCAGTTAATTAAAGCTTTTGTTGGGAATCAGTGAGTTTAGTTCATGTTGCTAACAAGTTAACTGTCAAATTGCCCCTATGTCTGGGCACTGGGAAGTTTGAAAATAAGTGACTTTTCCGTTTCTCTCTGGCCCCTGCTTGCTGGCACAAACCCACATGTCTTGGATTTCTAAAATGTCTGAAAACTGCAGTAATCCAAGTAACAAACGTCAAGATGATGATGAAAATCCCACTCCTTATTCCAGTGCTTCATTTCCAGGCCATTTAAACCTTAAATTACTCAGTGAAATTGCCCATTTGTGCTGAGCTCTGTGCCTCCAGACTACCCTTTCTCAGGCAGCAAAAGGCAAAGGGCTGACTTGCTTGGGGAGACATGCTTGTCTCCTGCCAACTGCCTGCCCAGCAGCTCCTCCTGCCCATGATACTCACGGGAGCAGAGCCCTGCTGCCCACATGGTGTGGCAGTACCTGGACCTTGCTGCATAGGGGAGTGTGCGTGGGATGGGTCTGTGATCTTGTGGTAAATCTCAGCTTGCAGAGGTCAAAAGGATGCCTCCCACCCTTGGAAACAATGAGCTCATAGGGGATGGGGTGAGAGCTGGAATTGTCCTGGGCAGGCTCGACAGTGCATTCCTCCATGACACATCATGCTGTGAGCTTCTGGCCATTTCTCCAGTATGTTCCCCCCTGCTTGTTTTCAGACTAAATGTGCAGTGCCTGCAGAGTTGAACATTCACATCACTTCTCTGTATAACTATTTTTTCTATAACAGGATTTTTTCTTGCTTTGGTAGAACGAGGTGGAGAGCACAGCCTTTTGAATTGTTTTAAATTGGGCTTCCATGTTCCACTATCACAGGCAGCCATTGACATCAGGAGTATGATGCCTCCAAGCAGTCATGTGTTTAAGGCAGGCTTTTCTTTGCCATGAAAATCTTTTGTTGGGGAGTCTGTATCTGTAGGAGCATTTGCTCTTATACAGAGAGGCATCTTTCCCTAACAAGATTCTTAGTCTCAGTGCTGCTCTGAAAGGCACCTCAGGTGTTTGTCCTCTCCTGTTATTCAGTAGCTTTCCAGTTACTTAGGCTCGCCAATCTCTGTCATGAACAGCCCTGCAGGAGAGGGCCCTTTGTAAATATAAGGCAGAGAATGGGGTTACTGTGGGCAGGTATTGGCTTACAGACATATGAAAACTCGACAAATAACACTGAGCCATATTTTTGCAGAAGACAGAGAAGGTTGATTTCTCTTACAACCAGTTAGCTGACCCGAAGTTTGCATTCTATGACCATAGCCTGGTTGAAGCAGTGAAGCTGGGTGACATCCCAACACACAGGTTCTTCCGGCTACTCTCACTCTGTCACACTGTGATGCCAGAAGAGAAGAAGGAAGGTGAGGACTGTTGAAGACACCAGACTGAATGGTTATGTTCACCTTGCACCACAGTATGTCCTCTCTCCACAGAAGCTGTTACCGGTCCTTTTGGCTTCCTGATAATTTTCTGTAGTATATGGCTGCACATAAATCAAAGTCTTTGGAGATGCCACATGGGAAGAGAAAGGACCGGGGTCTCCATGCTCTCTGTGTTCCTGTAGTGGAGCTGACACTACTGCAAACACCACATCTCTGGAGTGTGGAAACTGCAGGTGCCACAGCTTCCCTGAGGTGGCATGTGGCTTGCTGCACTCTTTCTCTACTCTGTGCCAGGTCCCATAAAGTAAAGAACACAGAGTACCTATCTACTGGAGACTCAGTAGCTCCTACCACTCAGTGTTCCCACAGGTACTGAGTCAGCCTCCTGACATCCCAGACTGGGTAAAAACTGTGCTTTAAAGGCTAGAATCATTAATTGATACATATAAGCTGAAAAGACTGGTGAGACCGATATATGCAGATAGTTATACATGCTGGATAGAAGAATACATACGTAGTTGCATATGTAACCAGAAGGGGGTTAAACTCAAGGAAGTTGTCCTCTGAGAGATAATCTATTGGACTCCAAAGGGAGTGTTACACATCCCAGAAGAGCCTAAGGGCCTTCTTGCACTGGCCTGGTGGATGGGTTAATGGGACTTGATGGAGACATGTGGATTTAAGGTGGTTTTTTGTACTGCACCTCTGGGGATAAACAGAAAAGCAAGGGGTTAACTGCTATATAATGTCTTTGATTCTGTATTTGTCTAGCCTCAGAAACAAGGCAGAAGCCACATAACATATTTCTTCTTGCATGTCAGGTAACTTGGTGTATCAGGCCCAATCCCCTGATGAGGGAGCCCTCGTCACTGCTGCCAGAAACTTTGGATTTGTATTCCGGGCTCGCACGCCAGAGACCATCACCATTGTGGAAATGGGAGAAACAAAAGTCTACAAACTCCTGGCTATTCTTGACTTCAACAATGTTCGCAAGAGAATGTCTGTTATTGGTATGTTCCCTTTGCTCCCTTCTTTTCTTTCTCACTTTTTAGGCTCTCATACCTAATTCTGCTGTGATGCTTTTTCCTCATTCGGAGTTCTTTCTGAATAAGATTTACTTCTGAGCTCCTCAGATGGGCTGCTTTGACCTTTCAATTACACAGCAATAGTGCTAGATAAAAACTTAGGCAGGTGGGGAACATCGTAACATTAGGGCAACAGTGATGAAACAGACTTCTACAAACTCTACGCTCTTTAACGTGTCTTTCTTCCCTCATTACAACACAGGAAAGGTCTGCTTTCTAATCAGCTTTAAAATTATAATCAAAATCTAAGAAAGTGGGAAAGGAGAAAGCAAGGATGAGTAGAGAAGCACCCTTTCCTGGAAGGAAAATGCATGAATGATTCAAGAAATCTCATGTAGCTTTTATCAACCCTCCAGCACCCTCAGCTATCTCAGGAACTAGAATGTCATAACTTTAGGAAGAGAGTGGCGTTACCTTGACTGGCAGGAACAGTACGAGCTGCAGGATGAGTTCACTCGGAACAAATTGTTCTTGACTTTTGAATGCGGATGTCCAGCCTAAAGTGCTGCCTATAGCAAATGCATAGCTCAACCGAGCATCTGCTCAGATCAGTGTAATATGGGTACAGTTTTCTGTGCTGCTACAACTAGTGTGGACAGCAGTTGCATTATCTTCTTTTCTAAGCAAAGCTTGTCCTGATTCCTGGGAGTCTTTGTAAACCTGATGGAGTTTAGACACTCCTGAAAACCTTTCTTGTCCTGACAGAAGTGCTTTGAATCCTAAGTGCCTCCATCTGGGATCTGTACCATTTCTTTTTCCCTTCCTCATAGTGCGGAGCCCAGAAGGTGACTTGACTTTGTACTGCAAGGGGGCTGACACCATTCTTTATGAACTGATTCATTCATCCTGCGACTCTCTAAAAGAAGAGACCACAGAACACCTGAACGTAAGTGTTTTCCTCCACAGTACCTCTCTGCATCTGACGGTTTCCTTTTCTCTGGATATGGAAATGTACTTTGTGTCGAGATAAAAAACAGGTGCCAGAAACAGCACATAAGCACCAATTTTTTAATTGTGGAATGGAGAGGAAAATTAATGTATGAAGCCTTAGGTCTCAAATCAGTTGTCTAAGCATGGGCATCAGGTGCCATTTGAAATGCTCCAGGACGTCTGAATGGCACATACAATGCAGGGTGTTCAGAAGACCTGTATTTCTCTGGAGTAGCTAGAAGCCAGGCAGGATAACACATGAAATGAAACGACACAACTAAATTCCCTCTAAGTCTGCTGTTACACCATGTACACCCAATGCATGCCTTAGATTAGTGTAACTCAGGTCATCAGCAAAGTGCCACAGAGCTATTCACCTTCTTGTATACAACTGAGATTTGCAGTGATTGTGATCCAAGAGGTCTCAGTTAGAAGGGATCAGGTAGATGCTGGGACATATTCTCACTCACCTTCCGTTTTTCCTGATTATATAGCAGAATATTGACTGGGCAGCAAGAAAAATGCATCACTCAAAGTTTTGGCTTTTTACATTGTTGATGGTGTGCACTGGGAGGTGGTTACTCATGTAAAGGGATGCTTCGGCTGATATTTGCTCCCCCTTGTGAAGCCAGATCACGCTGGTACAGTGCAAAGCATGAAGTAACAGAAGGTTTTGCCAGAGGGGTTATGCAGTAGGAAAACCATCTCTGCTCACTGCCTGGGGAAGCCAGATAATGTTGCTGGCAAGGCAGAGGGCAGAGCGGAGCTGATGCACCTTTATGTCAAGCCTGGGGAAATACCTCAGTTTTCACAAATGGGTCTCTGTTATTCCAACACTGAAATCCATACCGTCAATCATACCTCCACAGAAAGCAGTTAGAAGGACTTGCTGAGAAGGACTTCTAGCAGTTAGAAGGACTGACTGTGCTCATGCTGTGGATTTCAGTCAGCATTTATACACTAAAAATTTTGAGCCCACGTCTAAAATTCAAGGGTGTATTCAAGGATGTTTACTTAGCTTCCAGTGTTCTGAATCTTTTGTTGAGGAATATGAACCTGGAAAACAAGTGCCTGGTCAATGTAAAGCTTTAGAACCAGAAAGTAGGAAGGCCCTTTTGAATTTGCTCTTCATAAGGACCATGGATAGCAATGATAAAGTGGTCTGGAACTAGTCTTCAAAGAGTACCCCCTGGTTTGTAATCTAAGGTGTGATTTTTTTCAGCCGTCCTCTGAGACCTTAGGCAAGAAGCTTTTACAGATAGCTGCTTGCTTTCCAAGGGTCCTTTGTAAGCAGACTGTCTTTCTTTGACCAATTCTGCCCTACCACTGTGTCGCAGGAGTTTGCTGGTGAAGGTCTGAGGACACTCGTGGTGGCTTATAAAAACTTGGATGAAGAATACTTTCAGGACTGGATCAGGCGTCACCATGAAGCAAGCACTGCCTTGGAAGGACGGGAAGATAAACTGTCGGAGTTATACGAAGAGATTGAAAAAGACCTCATGGTTGGTGTTTCAGGGAATCTGGGCCAAGCCCTGGGGGAGGCAGTGAGGATGGTGGTTTGTCAATAAACTGCTCAGTATGACTTCAGTAAGCATTGCTCTGCAAACAGCTCAGTGGGTTGTGTGACAGGAGCAGTTAAGAATATGGCAGTCCTGGGTTTTCACTGGCACCTCCATCAGGAGCCTGTAAGCAGAGTGTCAGCCACCAGTGTAGGGGAATGGTTTTATTTTAACTCATGTGGGTGTCGGAGTAGCTTTCTCGTGATATAAGTGACATACCAGAGCCTGAGGGAGATGACGTGGACACAAATATTTCATAGATATGCTTTGTATGTGTGAATGGCTGATCTATTTATTTTCCTGTTTTTGAAATGGCAGGCAGTGAATAATCCCCAGTGCCCTTCCATTTCAGAGAATGTCTTCTTTGTTCTTGCAGCCCTGGGCAGGATGGGAAGATGATGTCCATGAACATGTTTGTGTCAATTTGGAATAGGGCTAAACTGTGATCTTCAAGTCATTCTTCTCTCCCTGAGTGTTGTTACATCTTTTTTAATGCCCTGGGGAGGTCTGCCTGTGTTTTAGAGCTGTGAATAATGAATGAAAAGGATGTGTGGGATCTAAGGGGAAGCAATTCAGTTTTTGCACTAGCAGCAGTGCTTTCCTGAAATCCTGGAAATCCAGGGAGCTGCACCTTTGCTCCTTCCACTAGCTGTATGCTCAGGATGCCAGCAAGGCCTGGGATGGGACTTCGATGGGACAAAGGAGCTGGATGGGACAAAGGACCTGGGACGGGACAAAGTCCCAAGCCTGGGACTTTGAACAACGTGGTCTAGTGGAAGGTGTCCCTGCCAGTGGCAGGGGGTTGAAACTAGGTGAGCTAGGTCCCATTCTAGGATTTCATGGAGAAGCAAGTGCGAGCTGAGGAAATGCTGACCTGCAGAACTCTTATAGTCCATGGGGCAGAGCCTGCTGCCCTTCTGGGTCCCAACAGAGTAATGGAAAATGCTGATCCTCCAGTCCAGACAATATATTGTGCAAATGTTCTATGGGTCATGTTCAAAGCATGAAGGACAAGGAGATTTAGGAGGTTAAGGGCGTCAGCTGCTTTGCAAGAAAGGGTTATGAAGCTCATGGCTTGGATAAAGGAAAGGTCATGTGCTCACAGGAGGCAGAAGTCTGGTTCAGAACAGGTCTGGCTCACTAGACCTTTGTACTCTGTACAGGAGTGCCTTTACTTCATGAAGGTGGTCTGGGAAGAACAGAGAGTTGGCGTAGGAAAACCTGGCTTGTGACAGAGGATGGGTGTGATAGCCAGAGTTAGCAAGGAAATAGATGGGTGTAGAGGGCTGCCAAGCACCTTAGTCTGGTTGATGGGCAACAGAAGTCCCTGTGTGTGGCAGGCTCATGCTAGGGGCCCTGAAGGGGAGTAAGATAAAAACACAAGAGAATGGAACATGGTTGGATTTACAGAATAGTAGTAAAAATATTGATTGACCTAAAAACTAAGGAAGATCCACAGTGAGGAAGGCATCACGACTGTTCCTCCAGCTGCTCTTACGCCAGGTCATGGGCAGCTTGTCAACAGTATTATTGTGCCTTTCTGCAGCTCCTGAAAGACAGTGGCTGTGGGGAACGCAAGCCCTTATTCTCTCTTCCTGGGCACGTTAGACAACCGTGTCCATCTTCGGCCTTTCACCTCAGACTCAGGCTGAGGGTGAGGAGTGCTCCCAGGAGGTGGCTGTGTATGCTACAGGCATTTAAGCTCTTGCTAGCTTAATATACCAGGGACTGTTGCTGTAAAAAGTGGACCATGTAGTTTTGAGGACCCTATAATGAAGTTCTGTCAGAGCTGTTGTCTACGCTGGTAACATTTATAGCTGGTGAATGATGAACATCCCAGGAAGCCAAAAGGTATCTTGGGCTTAAAGCCAGCTTCTGAACTGAGTCTCCCAACAGCAGGAGGTAGGTGGTAGCAGATGCCGTCTAAATCTGAGCTAGCACTGAAACACCTTCATGCCCTTCTGACAATAGGTTAAAACCACCAAGTGTCTCCAAAATGCAGGAAAAGCAGTAACTTTAAAATAATGCAGGTTTGTGTCCTGAGCAGTCCGTGGTTTAGTTGTGTGACAGTGTGGAGCAGGGCAGGGACAGCTCTATTATGGGATAGAGACGATGTTCAGCAGCCATAGGACAGCTGCAGTCCAGTATAGCTAGGAGCAAGCTCCACGTGAGAGGATGTATATGGAGGTTTGGGGACACAGATACACAGCTGTTCCTGTCCCTCAGTTAAAGCTCTATCTGCTGTGAAAGCAACATGTGTCCCCTTCACCCTGTGGGTCTTCAAACATGTTGGCAAACAACTTCCTGCATGTTCATGGTTAGGGCTGTGCTCCGTACAGTAAATATGCTGAAGAAGAATGAAAATCAGCACAACCGTATTCCTGGATTTGTTTGCTTGAGTCATTACTTGGAAGTCTAATGCTTTCTCCTTTGCTAGCAATGGGAAGACTTACCAGTTCACTGACATTTTCTGTTAAGCTTCTAGGTGCTACAGCGATTGAGGACAAGTTACAGGATGGAGTCCCACAGACAATTGAGACTCTTGCCAGAGCCAGCATTAAGATATGGGTTCTCACTGGAGACAAGCAAGGTAAAGGGGCTACAGCTTTGGGTGTTTCTCTTCTCTCCGACCGGTGGGATGGTTCAGCTAAGACCCACGTTCTCATTCTTTTTTCTTTGAAAACTGCACAGAAAACAAACTTACAAGGCTTTGCTTCATTGGCAGCTTGGCGAATCTCTAGTTATCTGTAATTAGACCAGATAACTGTAGCTACTGCTTGTTCTCAGTTCCCATCCTGAGTCTGGAAGGAGTGTGAAGTCATCATCCTTTGCCTTAGGAGAGGTGGCAGAGAGCATCCCATAGACCCTGTCATGTGCTGTGAAAAGTTCTCACTTTAGTAGTCAGCCATCCTGGTGAAGAAGGTGGAAAAAAATCTTTCCCTGCTTTCCAGGAACTTATTTGCTAAAGTGGATGTTGGGTCTGTCTCAGTTTTGTCCTGGCGTTACTGATCCAGAATAAAAATGGAGGAAACCTAGACTTTTGGAGAAAGCATTCAGTTGGAAAGAATGGTAAATAGACTCAAGTGAATTCTTTTGGAGAAATAGTAACTTTGCTGAAACAGCAGCATTTCAGGGAGGCCAGAAGTGTTTGTGAGTAACTTAATCCAAGAAATGGGCAGAGAATTTTTGTGAAAAATGAAACATTTCATTCTGTTGTGTTCCAAATGCAGTAGTTTTGCTTATGATATGCCAAAATTATACTCCTTTTTTTTTTTTTTCCCCCTGAATTTTCTGAACAAAATGTCTTGATATTCTGCTTCAAAACTATAGTTTGGGGCTTTTCTGTGAGTATAGGGAGGGAAAGTTAAAAATCCTGAAAAATTTTTTTGGAATCAACTTGAAATACCTTTTATTGCTACACATACATTGGCCAAAGTGTGATTTAAGTTTTTTCTTTTTGGTTGGATAGTTTTTTTTCTGTGGCCTTTTGAAGCCCACTTAAGAGGAGATTTGCTGCAATGTGACTTTCCTTGCTGTCTTAAACTGTTAACTCTGAAAGGCTCAGAGCTCTTTTGGGTGAGAAAGAGAGCTTTCATCATGTGTTTCAAAAGGCCACAAGCTGGTAGGTGAGTCTGGGGCTGCTGAGATGATCCTCTTCCTGGTTTGTCTTTCCCAGAGACAGCAATGAATATCAGTTACTCCTGCAACTTGCTGAATGATGACATGGACGATGTTTTCGTTATTGAAGGCAGCACATCTGATGACGTGCTTAAGGAGCTGAGGTAAATGGCTGAAATACATGGTTTTACTGCTGCGCACTGGCATTCTGTTTTGTATTATTCCACATTTTTTTTCCGATGGGCTCTACTTGTTGCAGTTCATTCAGGGACCTTTGATAATCTCCCTGGAAGATCCAGCAGCTAAGCACAACGTAGAAAACTCATCTGAGGATAAACCCTGAATCTTCTTGATCCAAAAGGTCAAGTGTATATAAACGTGTAAGAAAGTGGAGTTAGGCAAGCAGTATCAGCTGGTATTTGACAACTGATTTAGAGCTACAAAGCCTTTAGCTCCGGCCTTGAGATATGCTGTTTCTCCACTGCTATTGCCATTCATAGAATACACAATTCATTTTGTCCCTGCCCATGCCAGTAGGTTGGAAATAGGTGATCTTAAGGTTCTTTCAAACCCAAACCATTCTATAATTCTATGATTCCATGTTACACATTTCAGTCCTGTGTCTGGATATGGTCATTTCCTAGTGTTATCTGGAAACCTACCTACCTTCTTCCCTGGCCTCAACAGTAGGCATGATTTCTTAGGTGGAAAATTGGATAGTTTTTTGGTCTTTTTCTCTTTAAGTAGGTGGTTGCCAGGTAACTTGTACAGATAATTTGGATTCGTTTTGGGATGTAGTCTTTCATGACACTCAGGTGACTCGTTTGACTTTAAATCAGCACAAGTTTAGCACACTTGTTAGAGTTTCAGAAGCATGGGATGATCTGCACAAACAGCAGCAGCTAAACTATGCATGTTGTTGTAGGGATAAAGGAGAAAGGGTAGCATACATTTTTTATTTTCATAAATATGTTTTAATAAAACATAAATACTTTATAAGCCTTTCATTATTATTCTGGAATTTTTTTTTTTTCTTTCAGGGATGCAAGGAAAAAGATGAAGCCAGACTCCTTCCTGGACAGTGATGAAATCAACATTCAGTTTGAAAAATCATCAAAAATCCCCAAAGTTTTACCTGATGAGCAAGCAAACGGGGTGTATGGTCTGGTTATCACCGGCCACAGCCTGGTAAGAAAAGTTCAGAGGCATGTTAGGGCTGAGTTCTCTGGAGAACTTGATGTGAATATCAAAAAGATGTGGGATAACCCCCTGCAGATGCCACTTAGTTCTTGACATGCTGGAAGTCTGAAAATGCTTCCTAAAAGTTATTCCTAACAGAAGATTAGATCCAGTGTTTTTTTGAGACATTAAAGGTGATGGGCAAGATTTCAGAAGACTGGAACACTAAAGAGTTGGCCTGATGTTAGGTGAACAAGAGGGGTTGAATAGTTGGATGAATTTTCATTTCCAGAAAGATGCTAGAAGAATAATCAGGTAATTTATGGCTGAAGCAAGCAGATACGATAACATCAGACATGGGTTTCAAGTATGCCAAGAACGTATTCTACTACATATATCCACATTTAGTATGTATTTAGTAAATGTAGCCATATTTAGTATTATAACAGACAAGTTTAACAGATAGAATATACATCTTATCACTTAAGTAATAAATTGTTTGATGTTCTCTCCCATGATGTTCTTCCAAGCAAACCGAAGTAATATGGTCCAGATGAAATTGTTAAGTGGCAGATGGAAGACTGCTTGGAAAGTGTAGCTTTTAAGGGCTCACTGTTGATCTAAAACAAGAATTAAGTGGCATCTGCAGGGGGCTATCCCACATCTATTTGATATTCAGTGCTTGCATTAAATATTTAAAAAAAGAGCAGATAATAGAAGGCTAGGAGAAACTGAGGCATGATGGATTTCAATGTTAGGTTTGAAAGCAATTTTAACAAATTGGAGAAAAGGAGAATGCAATTGAGTAAGAACAAAAGCCTTGCTCTCCACTTTCACTAGACACAACATAATCAACCAGACACATACAAATTCAGAGATTTGTATTTAAGAGCATCATCCATCCGTAAAATTTGTGAAGAAACCCTCCTGCTTCATTTGGCATCAGTAAAGTATTAGCTGAAATAATTACATTTATTTGGGCCATTTTCTCTGAGAAAGTGTGAACCAACTAGAGAGAGTACAAAGAAAACTGCAAGAGTAGTCATACATGATCTGGAAAGCAAGGGGAGAACTGAGAAAGTTAGGATTTCTTAGCCTAGAGAATACTGATCAGTCTTGGTAGTACTCTTCAAATAATAACAGGTAAATAAAAAAGCAATGGAATTAAACTGAGATAAGAGAGTTTGGAGTGAAATGCCTTCCTGGAGAGAATAGCGAAGCACTGGAATAGGTTTGCCATCATTGGGAATTTTTTAGACCAGATTAAAGAAAAAAAACAATTTAGGTACGTTCCAGCCTGTCTGTGAGAAAGGCTTAGACAGATCAGGTTTATTTGTGTCTTGTATTTTGCTTTCCCACACTGCGGGGAAAGTAAAGAGGTAGATTTGGAAAGAGACGGGAGGTGCTGCCTTTCAGAGACAAGATGCTTTTGTTCCCTGTGGTTGATACCTCTCTTGATGGCAGTCCAGCAAATCTAATCCGCAGCTCTTATACCAGCCCAGCAAATTGCTATATAAAAGATCTCATTTTACTCCATCTTTGGCCTGTGTGCCATGTATAGACCCTGGGCTAGATGGGACACTTCCAGGCAGCGTCTATGTTGTCAAATACCCTTTTTTACCCTAGCTCCCTCTTTAACTCCAGGGCTCTAATCCCCTTTAGGACCCCACTGCAAAACAGGCAAGAGCTCTATCACATCAGTTTGGTGCACCTGCATGGGCAAATCCTGTGACATCCCAGCCAGCCACAAGCCCCTGCCTGTTCCTACTCCATCCCCTCAGCCTGCAGCACAAGATCCCAAGTGTGGGATCTGCAAGCACCACTTGCAGCAGTGACAAAGCCTTCTTCTTATTTGTGGCAAACCTCACACTCACCCATAACCCTGGCAAGGAGATACGTACTGCACAAAGCAAATCAAATGTGGCCTGTGTGGGAGCAGCTGGTCCATGTAGCCCATAGTGGAGTGGACACAGCAGTTTCACCTGGACCATGGCTTTCTGCTGGGTGTCGACCACAAGGACAGCATGGACAAGACTATATGTTATTTATTTATTTCTGTGAACCTAGAGCTTGAGTAATGGTACTAGTGCTGAAACTGTCCCACTCAAACGCAGCATCTGTTCAGTGCCATATCCCTGCATGCATATGAGTGGGATGGCACCACTGGGGCTAGATGTGGTATCACTTAAGCAGAGCAAGGGAACACCAGCACATTAGCATCTGTAATGGCATCATCATGCAAGTTGACTTGTGTGCAGTGCCATTAATAGACTACATGTTAACATTTTGCTAGTGCTGTTGTGTTTGCGAGGATGTTGTGGCAAAAGCCATCTCTAACTGCACTGACTGGCTGGTACTAAAGCTGAACCACAAAAAGGTCTTTCTTATTGAGCAAGCCTGCCTGCCACTGACTGATGGGAGGAGAGCAGGACAGTGGTGACTCACAGCTATCTGTTTGAAGAAGAAAGAGTATCTGACCTCAGGATTGTCTGCCTTACGCAGACAGGGCCTGCTGTAATGGAAAGAGGAAAGATGAGGAAAGAGCCCTGTAGATTCCTCCCATGCACATTTACTAAGAGAGACCAAAGAACAGAGCCAAAAAGCATGATCTGAAAGAAATATGAAAAGATAACAGTGCTCCCTCCTCCTCATGCAGACCTGGAGGGGTGACCAGACATCCAATTATCTCTGTGCTTGCCAAACAGAAATAACACAGCTGACTGGTTTAGAGGGTCAGCACTCAGAGCAGAGTTGTGTTTCCTGTGGCTTTTTGTTTTGATTTGTCATGCTTACCTGAGCTCAGCTTTTTCCATGTGTTGTTTTAATTAACTGCTCCCTATTTGAAGCCTGTTTATACCACAGATCTCCTAGATCTTAAAAAATAAACCAAGAGGGATGAGCAAAGACTCTCCCACATGAAGATACGCAAGGCTGTCTCCGGCCCAGCATCAGCTTTGTTAATTTAGTGGTCTTGCCATTTGACACTTCCAACGCACCGCCAGGTTACATCAGCCAGAGCATCTGTTGTGCATATTCAGCTGTGGTGCATCCAAGATGCAAGCCCATGGGTGCACACCGTGTGGCATGATGCTGTGCAGTCTGGATGCTCCCTGCAACTGAATGGACAGATTCGCTTAGGGTATATCATGCCTTCCTCCTGCCAATGGAATAACTAGCACATTTCTCATTTCCTTCCCACTGCATCCTCTTTGTCAGGCCACGAGTTGCTGCCAGTCTGATCTGAACACTCCCTTTGCTCCTTCTCAGGCTTACGGGCTGGAAGAGAATCTGGAGCTGGAGCTGGTGAGAACTGCTTGCATGTGCAAAGTGGTGATTTGCTGCCGGGTGACCCCACTGCAGAAGGCCCAGGTGGTGGAGCTGGTGAAGAAGTACAAGAAGGCTGTGACCTTGGCAATTGGAGATGGCGCCAATGATGTCAGCATGATCAAAAGTGAGTGATGGACAACAGCTGGCATGCTCTGGCAAACTGATGATGTATTCAATGATGTATTTGCTCTCTGAGGTGGTCTAGCAGCAGGAACACATCTGGCTGCCCTCTGAACCATCTTCTTTGTGGCACCAAGGGGCTGTGTCTCGGTTTGGCAGGCTTCTACAGAGCACCATCACTATGGGCTACTGGTGTCTCCTGCCTTCCAGGACACACAAGAAGGGCCCTTTGCTATGCTCCCACCACCAGGATGCAGGAAGCCAAGGCTGCACTTGCTGGCCTTTTCTCTCTTTCTGCCTTAGAACAGACTAAAGCCCATAGCGGCTGTACCATGTCCACCTATGCTTCTGCATGACCACTGTCACAAGTGTGATACAAAGAACAAACAAGTTTGTTTCACAGTGGGCCTGTCTGCAATGCAGAAAGAAAAATCTTCAAGCCTCTAAATAGTCTGTATAATGTTACATGATTTTTTTTAACATTTCTGTGTGATAGAGGCATTTGTCTGTTACCTCTTCAGCTATAAATTATGCTCTTCTAGGTGCTTTCGTCCTTGAGCATCATTTGATGCTGCACTACCTCAGTGAATTTATCATTAAAATCCCCTAACTAGGTATAATTAAATTAAGATTATTCAGAAGGGCCTGTGCTAATCTTCCATGTGTTAATTTGCAAGAATTGATTAACTAGAGCCTTTTAATTAAGAAAGAAAAGGCTTAGTAGGGAGCTTCAAGGAAGATAAGTCAGGCAGTCAGTAAAGAAAGGGTAAGGAAAGTTAAAGTGTACATGATAATTAGAAAAAGACCCACTCCCCCAACGGAAGGGATGGGACTTTGGGACTTTATCAATTCACTGTTCCATGGAAAGCTCAACCTCCAGCCATCAAGATTGTTCTCATTAGTTAAAGCTGTATAATTAGCTGTCACATTAAACTTATGTCCGTGTTTAATAAACCCAAGTTACTATTTAAAAAGAGGTGGCTCTTCTATCTAATTATCTGATTGAACTAATGAAGCCCAGGACATGTAAAAAGGCTACAGTCTGCCTTGTAGCCCTGTGTCTGAGAAATCTGCAAGGAGTCTGAATATTTTGCTTCTCTAGAGTGATGTTTTACAGCTGCTAGAAGGACATGCACGCATGTAAATATGAGTCACAAGTCAGTACAAATTGAAGTTATTTTTTTGTAACAGTGGCTGTTGTGCACAAAAGCATTTATACTGCTGGAAAATGTCCACAAAGAAAAAGCTAATTGTCATGGAGGGTGTAATATCATTGAAATAACAAAAGCCCAGTTACTGGAAATGCATCACTACAGCCAAAATCACAATGCTGCTGAAAGAATTAGTGCTTCAAAGTGTTTTTTAATGTTTTTAAGAAAGAACTTTACAGATTACTTTCTATGAAGGCTGGGAGGCAATTAACACAGTGTCCCAGTGCAGGGAACTCATTTAAAAACCAGAATAATCAAAACTCCCAGTGCAATGACATTATCAATAACCTTTTCGTTGCAGCTGCCCACATTGGGGTTGGTATCAGTGGCCAGGAGGGGATGCAGGCAGTCTTGTCCAGTGACTTCTCCTTTGCACAGTTCCGCTACCTGCAGCGCCTGCTTTTGGTCCATGGCCGGTGGTCCTACATCCGCATGTGCAAGTTCCTCAAATACTTCTTCTACAAGAATTTTGCCTTCACATTAGTGCATTTCTGGTATGGATTCTTCTCTGGCTTCTCAGCACAGGTAGGTCCAACTTCTGTTTTATCATCATCGTGCCCAGCATTTTAAAAGGAACTAAACCAAGCTATTTTGCCTCTCAGTAGCAGCACACAGGTCTTTCTTCTTCAGCTGTACAAACACAAGGCAGGTACTGCTGCCTTCACTGTGCCTGAAGACATTTAGTTGCATTACAAAGCACATAGGTCCCTTGTGGGGTTTTCAGAAGGTTCAAAGTGGCTACAGCCATCAAACAAGGATACAGATTAGACAGAGGCCTGACTAGAGTGGGGCAGGTCTGTGTAAGACTTCTGCTTGCCCTGTTAGCACATTTAAAGCAAACCATTTAACCCTAGGATGTCTGTGTGCTTCAGCAGCTTGCAAAGAGGGGCAAATCTGCAGGGAAAAATGTGGTGTTAGTTGAAGACAAACCAATCCCCAACCAAAACCAGCCCCTGGGAAGCACAGATAGCTCATGAGATAGCCAGATGGGAACAGTCAGGATGCTCTCCATCTGCCCCTGTCTGCTGCTGACCGCTGCAGAGCATGGCCTTGCTGGGGTTGATCCTGCTCCTGCTGCTGCTGCACTGGGTGCAGAGCAAATCCAAGAGGGCTGGCCTGTCATGATCCTTACCCCATACACTCCCACATCTGGGCTGGTGAGCTTTAGTCACCTTATAGTCTGGTCTTGATAGCATCTCAAACCAAAATGCTCCATAATTTGTGTGTGCTGTTGAAGAGATGGAAAATGTAGCTTTCTACTAATGCCATGCTCTGTTTTGTTGGTTTTTTTTTAGACTGTCTATGATGAGTGGTTCATTACGCTTTACAATTTGGTATATACCTCCCTCCCAGTGCTAGGAATGAGCCTCTTTGATCAGGTACTGTTTCTATCACCCCTTGGATTTCTTTTATAGGAGCTTTAACTTCAGGTGCTTTGTTCCATGAAGCAAAAGCAGCTTACTTTTTGGCTAGTTACTATTGTGATAGCCCCTGCAATAATTTCCTGCCACTGAGATCTGAGAGCACAAAAAAGGAATGGACCAGGGGGAGATGGTGTATTATCCTGATGTGGCCTGTGCGTTTCAGTGTGTGAGGAGAGACTTTTGGGTCAGGCTGTTGAGTACAGTAAAAGTTGCCATTGTAACACTCCCCTGAAGTAATCACATCATACCAACTATGTTCCTGCAGCCTGGCAAGTGACTTTTTAATGACCACACAAAACAAAGAATGAGCTATATCTCTGAAGCCAAGTTTTCCATGCTCAGCCTTTCTAGTAGAAGTCATTCTGCAGTAATTTCACATACATATTTCTACCCCATTATTACTGTTCAGCAAGACATAGGAGAAATAAAGCTGTTTCTATATTAAGCAGGAACTTGCTACTCTGAAGTGGTTCAGCTTTGGATACTTAAGGGATCCAAATCAGACAGGAGTGCATCTGAGTCCAAGTGGACCCAGGAAAGGTATCTTCTATCCCTGGGCTTCCAGGCAACTCTCTGGAAAGCAGACCATGCATTCTGCTTAAGATGAAGTGTACCTTCATTTTTCTTGCAGCAGCAGCACTTGTCAGTTTTCTCAAGAAAGGTGAAATTCAACATGTAAAATATGTCTAGGTGACCTTGGGATGTGGCATGCTAGTCAGCACAACTGAGTGAATCGTGTGCTAAGCCTTTTCTCATGGAAATGCATGTTCCAGAGACATGACAACCCTAAGTGGTGTGAGGTCGGTTGGGTAGCTGCCAGCAAATCTGACCATCTTCTCTCTACCTTCAGGATGTGGATGATCGTTGGAGCTTGCTGTTTCCTCAGCTTTATGTGCCTGGCCAACAAAACCTCTACTTTAACAAAATGGTGTTTGTCAAGTGCATGTTTCAAGGGATCTACAGTTCCCTCATTCTTTTCTTCATCCCCTATGGGGCCATGTACAATACAGTGAGAAGTGATGGGAAGGCTATTGCTGACTACCAGTCCTTTGCGCTGATGGTCCAGACTTGCTTATTGATTGTGGTTTCTGTACAGGTAAGGCATCCCAGGTAATATTTTTAGGAATTAGTTGTTATGTTGTGAAGGCAGCATCTGGAGGGCCACCTGGAATCCTGATAGCATTGTATTTGCTGCTGCACGTTGCATTCTTGCAAAAACCAAGATTGACACCAGATTATTCTCCTCAGTTCATAAAATCAGCAGATTTGCTTGAGATCAGGGTGACAGGAAAACAGTCTCTGCTTTGAAAAGTTTGCAGTCATAGCAGGCAAAACAGGTAAAGCTGGGAATAGAGGACTAATTCCAGTTCTATGGGAAGGGTTTGAAGAATGAGACTGTCTTATTCTTCAGATTTGTCTTGACTGCTATCAGCTGGTTATTGTCTTGTCTTGACTGCTATCAGATAGTTATTTATAGTGTTTCCATTTTGGGGCTGTCTCTCTAGCCTGGCCCAATGCATGATGCAGATGCTAGGTCTGCAGCAAAGACTTGGGGGTTACAAAATTCAGGTGGTACTACCAGGATGAGATAAACTTCTTAAAAGTAAACCAATCAGTCACATATCCCTAGGTAATGATTCCTGCTGTCTGAGGTCTTGTAGGCTCCTTCTCCAAACTCTCAATGCTAGATCATAGCCTGGGTCTGGGGACATAAGTATGGCTTATTTGAGTTCGCTTGACAAGAACAGAAGAGCAAGGCAAACATGCTTGCCTTGAATGGTCTCCTGGCATCCAGGCATCTGTGGCTTGGTATTTCTTGAGACTTGAATGAGTAAGTCTTGGGGGCAGCTATATGAAGAAGAGGACAAGCTGTGTTCAACCCCGATCTGCTGAATAATTAAGGCACTGACCGTATCTGTATTGTTCCATTCTTTCAGATCTGCTTGGACACTTCTTACTGGACAGTTGTGAACCAGTTCTTCATCTGGGGCAGCCTTTCTGTTTACTTTGCTATCACCTTCACCATGTATAGTGACGGCATGTACATGATCTTCACAGCCTCCTTTCCCTTTGTTGGTAAGCCCTGGGACAAATCTGGATTGCACTCAAAATGGGCCTACTGGAAGGCTTTAATCTTGTCAAGTATTTCTAGTACACATTATTACCTCTCTAGAGGCAGTAGCAATGTATTGATTGTCTTTTCTACAAGAAATGCCAGGGCATTTCTGAGGTCTGCTGGGAATGCTTATTTTGAAACCCATCCATCTTGGTGAACATTTTCCTCATTCACTTCCTTACATAAAAATGCACATCTACATGCAGCCACAGGAATGGTCCTTTAAATAAACCTGGCCTTTAAATAAACCTGGCCTTTAAATAAACTGAGCTGTCTGGAATGTTTTCTGCTGCTCTTTCATGTTCTGTTTCCAGGTGTCCAATTTTTACAGATATCTAGAGGCATTTTATTTGCAGAAAGATGCATGTTCTTTTGTAAATAAGTTAACATGTTGGTACAGGAAAGCATAGGAGTCTGATATCCAGTTAGACATGTGAAAAACACTGATTACAGTGAGCCAGGTTAAGTGGCAAACTCCCAACAAAAAAACATCCAGTGATGACCTGTCCTTTGTATTACTGTACATTAAAGATTTATGAACACGTTCAAAAAGTGCAGGATAACATAAAAATGAGTCCACCTCATGAAATTTTGACCAGGAGGAAGCTGAAAGCTTAGCAAAGTATTTCCGATGTTTTTAACAGCCCTGTGCATCCGTAGCCAGTATTGATACAGCAGTGTTAGGAGACTTTACTTCCAAACTCCCAATGCTTTTCAAGTCTCAGATTGATGTATTAATCAGTTCCTTTATTTCTGAACAAATTGTTAAGCCAAGACTTGTTCTGCCCATCTTCACTGCAATACCAGGGTGATTGGCCATTTGAGAAATATTTGAGATGCAGGTCAGTTGGTTGCTATGTGTTTTACAAGCAGATGTCACATCCCCTGCAAGATAGCCTTTATTATCAAAAGCACTGAGTGAACACAGTGTCTGTTCAGTTTCCAAAGACAGGTGGAAACACACTTGCCATATCTCTATCTGCTGCTCAGCACATAGTCTGCTTAATAATGTCTCAGTCTGAAACTATTTTTAAGAAAAGTGTTTATAGTCTAGGCTGAGACAACTTGTTTTCTTTAATTTCAGTGGAGCTGTATTACAGCAGAATTTGGCCAACTAAAAAGAAAACATTCATCAACTATACTGCCAACAACATCATCATTAAGCCCTGTAATGAGAGTTTTGCAGACTGTTTGTTCTATCTTGCATTCCTTCAGTTTTGGAGAAGCCAAAAGTGAGCCCTGTGGTTTCAAAGAAGGTGGTAGTGTCACACCAGTACATGACAGTTGCTCTGCCAATGTACCCATCAGGCTACACTGGCTGTGCAGACACCTGGAGTAAAAATTGCTCCTCTTGTAAAGGGCTGTGATCCCATCCATCATCTGCTGGGCAGTCAGTCAGTACTCCATATGCTTCAGGAAATGGTGCTGGAAAGTAATAAAACAGTATTCCTGATTTTACAATAGAGTCCTGGCAAAAGGTGAGAGGGCAGGGCTGCTGCTGAAGAAGGCCTCCTGAACTATTGTATCAACCGTTTGCAGTGATTTGACTCTTTGTACGTAGTTAAGGCATTCACTCTGACAGGCTTGTGTCCCTGAGTTGTTGCTGCAGTTGTGTCTGGATGTTGCACCTTTCTTTGCTCATCTCAGACAGTGACATTAGTATTACTGTTCTTTCTATAGCAAATTGATTTCGTTGTTGGGGAGGGTGTCTTTTTTTGTACTTTGATCGTTTGCCAAGTGCCTCAGAATCACAGAGCGTGAAAGGTTCAGGTGACTGTTACAGTTTTAATCCTGCTTTTTGTTTTTCAGGTACAGCTCGAAACACTCTCAGCCAACCCAACGTGTGGCTAGCAATCTTCCTCAGCATCACCCTCTGTGTGCTGCCTGTAGTTGGCTTTCGATTCCTGAAGACTCAGTTAAGGCCAACTCCCAGTGATAAAGTAAGGAGATACCTTATTAAACAAGGAATCCTGTTTACTACCACCTAAGCTTCCCATGGAGCCATGCTGCATGGCCTTGGCATTGCTCAGAGAGTATGTCCCTGTAGATGCAAGTGCTGCCATCTGTCTGTCCGCTACTCCCTTGGGAAGGAGGATTGAATTCGGGTTTTGGCACAGCTCAAAACCATCTGCAACAGGGACCAAGGCTGAGATTATTTAGATTTGGATTAGATTGCATCGGAGCAAGGAAGCGGCACTATTTTTAGGTGCATGGTTTAAGGGCTGTGGCTCAGTGGCAAGGGAGTGGCGTGTTCCTCCTGACCTCATACTGTACCCTTTTTAGCCTGGCAAACCACAGCCCTTCACTCTCCACCCAGCATTACGTGTTTGCTATTTGGGCTTTTTTTTCACTTAAGAATCTACTTCGTTTGTAATCAGTAGTTATATGCCCCCTCTGAAACCAGAAAGAGCATGAAGATGAGGCCACTGGGGCTCGGAGACATGGAGCGGGCAGAGAGCGCACCGGTCACTAGTGCCGATGGACCCCTCGAGGATGTTTAAGCCTAAGCACTGCTCCCCCGGCTCGCTTCCGAGCAGCAGCATCTGCAAAATGCTGCTGCCACCTGGTGCTTTTTCCCTCTTCCTGCACTGAGCTGTGAGAAACCAGTGTTTGCGAACAGCCCCAGGGGATGCACCTCAGTGGCTGCCCTCATCATCCTTGGGATGGCTGTGAAGCTCCCCAGTGCTCCAGAACTGTTGGCGAATGAGTGCAGGGGAATTCTGAGCCCTTGTAGAGGTGGTAGGTGGGTGATAGAGAAGACTGCAAAGTCGGGAGGTCCTCAGGACACAATTAGAGGCAGTTCAGGTGTGTAAAAATGGGCTGAGTTTTCCCCTTAGAAGTAGAAGCCGTAGAACCATAAGTTCCAGACTGGTTTGGGTTGGAAGGGACCTTAAAGCCCGTGCGGTTCCAATCCCCTGCCATGGGCAGGGACACCTTCCACTAGAGCAGGTTGCTCCAAGCCCCCTCCAACCTGGCCTTGAGCACTGTCAGGTGTGGGGCAGAACTGCCTAGCAAAATTGCACCTTTTCTAAGTCCAACACAGTTATAATACAGAATCCGAGCCTCAGGGCCTGGGCTGAGCACTTCTCTCTAGTGAAAAATTACTTTACTTTTCTACCTCCTCTAGGAAGCAAATTGTCACAGGAGAGGAGCGTTTGGGTTTCCTAATGTATGGAGATCCCCAGCAAGCAGTATTGAGAGGAATTGGCGTAAGAAAACTGGAGAGGGACATTTTACAAGGGCCTGTAGTGACAGGACAAGGGGGAATGGCTTTGAACTGACAGAGGGGAGACTGAGATTAGATATTTGGAAAAAAAAATCTTCCCTGTGAGGGTGCTGAGGCGCTGGCACAGGGTGCCCAGAGAAGCTGTGGCTGCCCCATCCCTGGCAGTGTTCAAGGCCAGGTTGGACACAGGGGCTTGGAGCAAGCTGCTCTAGTGGAAGGGGTCCCTGCCTGTGGCAGAGGTTGGAACTGGATGAGCTTTAAGTTTTCTTCAACCCAAACCATTCTGGGATTCTGTGAACTTAAATAGAGACCTGGTGTTTAGAGAGGCCAAGTACCTACAACTGCCACTATCCCAAGCAAGAAGAACAGGGGTCTGGCACCTGGGGATTCTGCTGAGCCACTGGCACTCCATACTGGCGTTATGCCTTTAACAGCCCCTTTCTGAAAAGATGCTTGTCCTCAGATGATGTTGGTGGCCACCAGAGATCCCACTGCCTGCAAAAAAAGTGCATTATTTCTTTCCCTTCTACCAAGGACTGTGAGAATCTATTTATCGCCATTCTCATCATAAAAAGCTTTTATGTATCAGAGATCCCCTTGAGTAGTAATTAGTAGAAATTACTAGTAATTAATACTTCAGTAGAAATAAGCAAATTCTTAAATGTTTCTTTTTTTGTTTTTTGGACTTCCATCTATTGTTGAGGTGACTTCAACATTTGGTCTGAAGAGCCTAAAAGAGCTGCAGTAATACCCCAGCTGAGGCATCAGAAAGCTGTAAATCTTCTCCTCTCATGACTTAAAGATGACACTGCAATTATGCCTTCTAGAATAAGATTACCTTTTGCTTTTACCAGGCTGCCAGTTTAGTTCCTGCTCCACAACCCCTCCTGCCATCCCCCTGTTTTGCCAATCAGTTTTGGCTTTGGCCACCTGCTTCTGTTTCCCTTTGTTCCTGTGTTCCTGTGCTTGTGAATAACGATGCACTTCCCACTTTTTCCATCTTATTTTCTGATTCCAGGTCCTGCTCAAGATCAAAGAAGCCAAAAAGCGGCCGCCTCCACCCTCACCCAGGAGACACCTGCGTCGAACCAGCACCCGCCGCTCTGGCTATGCCTTTGCCCATCAGCACGGCTTTGGGGCACTCATTATGTCTGGGAGAAACATGCGGCCAAAATCACCTTTTGCCGCGACGGGAACATTTTCACCGAATAGTGACAAACATAAGCACAAAGGATTGTAAAAAAAAAAAACAAAAAACAAAAAACAACCAACCCAAAACAGAAAAAAAAAAAAACCAAAGAAACATGAAAACCAGCAACACAAACCAAAGTGAAGGGCTGTCAGGAGGGGGGGCTGTGCTCCCTGCAAAGCACAGAGGCAGTGGCTGCCCAGAGCCCTGCCCTCCAGGATACCAAATCAAGAACGTGCGCCTTTTTCACCCAGGTTCAGCCTCTGACTCCAGCTTCTCTTCCAAAGACATGTGCTGCTGCCAAGGGAATGCCGGCAGAATGCATTAGAGATGTTGTAGGTATTCCAGAGGGCCTCCCTGGAATGACAGAGAACATCCTGCAGGAGGCATCTCTGCTCCCTGAGATAGTTCATGGTGATTACTTTACATTTTTCTCCCTTTAACTACATACCTCAGAGCAAAGAGAAGTCTAGGCTGAGGAAAAGGCTGAATTGGTGATGTCCTTCTCATCTATGTGCCTTTGTTTCTATCGTGAGTAGACTCTGGGCTGTATTACTGGGGTGACAGTGTTGACCCCAGGTGTGCCTTAGGTCCAGCTGCAGAACCCCCATGTAATATGTGTAATTTTGTGGCCTTTTGACTGTACGCAGACACTTTGGAAGGCACGCGTTGCAATGGACTCCTTCCAAACAGTTAATCCCGTTTCTCATGAGATGGCCAGCGCCCAAGCACCACCCTCTTTCTGCATCTGCAGTCAGGAAGTGCTTAGAGAAACCCTTAGTTGGTCAAGGGACGAGGACTTGACATTCATCAGCCTGTCCTTTTTTTATCTGCATTGCAAATCTGCTCTTGCAAAAGGTCATTGTCCCTAGAACTCTCTCAGGTTCTGTAGCAGGTCACCAGCCATTTCATTTAGACTTTAGGTAAAAGGGCAGAAGCATCTCAGGCTCCCATGAGGCAATAAAGCCTGGCCCTGAGAAGCCCGTGTTGTGCTTAGGGCTCATCTGATCTGCCAGCACTGGGTGTCTCCCCCACCATAGCAGACTGAGGCACACGCACGTCTGACTCGATGGAGGTCACACAAGCAGTATCAGAGGCAGAGATGCTATTTCACGGCTAGCACAGGGTGTCCTGCCCTTTACCCCTCCCTGTCCTCCACCGGTGCTGTGGCTCAGCATAAGGGATGAAGCGTGACTTGATGACTCCTTCACCCTTCCCCTTGAGCCGTGTGGTGGAGTGTCAGAGGATCTCAGTGAGGGCTCAGGAGACCCTGCAGAGTTTCTGTGTACTGGGTAGTATTTTATTTAGGAACAGTTCATCTGTCATTATGAGCTTCAGAGAGCTGTAAATGCTCAGTCTGACTGCCAGCAGAGGGACCAGGGATGCGCAGGCACAGCCGAAGTCAGAGGGACTGGGCTTTGCTGGCTGTATTTTTATACTATGTCCATCATCAGTGGGGTTACTGGGTGGAAGGACAGTGTGTCAGTGTGAGAGCTTGTCCTACCAGCACTGCTGAGCTCTCTAAATGAAGCTTTTATGTGCAAAGGACTAAGCAGCGTTAGCTGGTGGTTTATTTTTTTCAGCTCCTTTATGCAGATTTAGATTCCTTGTTCTGAATTGGGGTTTTTTTTGCATGGTAACCATCTGGTATTTATTGGGAGTTCTCGGCATTAAGAGTCTCTGAACTATCGGTGGAGGCAGTATGTGATGGCAACAGGCCAGCCGCGTCCCCATTTCATCCAGTCTGCGTATAACACCTTGTGGCCTGTGGTCCCAGTTTCAGCAGTTTCTATGTAAAGATTGTTTAAGCTCCATAAGCTTTAAGTTTCTATGTAAAGATTGTTTAACTTGGCCCAGAAAAATACCCAAGTCTATTGCACCTGCTGCTTTTGGGGAGGCTCGGTGCAAACTGTGGCATTGGATTTCAGCAGTCACTGCAAAACTAGAGCTGGGAGTGGATGCAGGCTTCAGTGGCCAGGAGCTGCTTGATAAGGAAGGAGCAGATGCTAATCTGGCCATCTCCCCTGCAAGCAGATACCTAAGTAAAGTGAGAGCCTGCAGCCCCACTGGTGCTTGTCACCTCCCTCTGATTTACCATTCACTTCGCAGAGACAATCATGGCTTTCTGATGAAGATTATGTCTGTCGAAGTCAGCCACCCCGGGGCTAGAGGCAAAAGGGGAGTCTATGCAGGCAAGCAGATGTCCCCACGATACCCAGACTGCTCTGGGTGGGCTGAGAGTCCTACCGAAGTTGTTCCTAGCATGTAGTGCAGAGCAATATAACGCAGGGCACCACAAGCAGATCTTCTACGGGCAGGGCAAGGCAACTCTGAGACTGTGTCACTCTTCTCATACAGTTTATGTACAAGGCACTCACCTTCTGGCTGAAGGGGATTTGTAAATACTGCCTAGGACATGCTGGGGATAATAGAGCTGTTGGTGAGCTTGCTCCACATACAAATATTTCAGTGGTTTGACAAGATCAGCATTTGAAACACATCACCTGGCAGTGATGTCTGTCCTACATCACTCCTGAATTTGTAAAATGATTTCTTTTTAAAGAATAAAATGATAATATTAGGATGACCAACTCCTTGCCACTCTGTTATTTGGTCAAAGGAATGAATCAGCCTGCGGGAGGGAGGCTTATCCATATTCTTAGATGGCAGCCCTATGGTGGGAAAGCTGCCTTGAGGGTATTTCTTATGTGCACAGTCCCATGGAGGGTATCAGACCTCATGTTGTGGAATGTATGAAGATGATACTTTAGTCTTTTATGAAGTTTTCATATTTGATAGATCTGTCAAAATCTAATCCCTGGAATGTGTTTTTGGGGTGTTTCCCCCTCCCTTTTTCTCATAATTCTGTAATATAAAGGTTCATGGTTTGAATGCTGTGTTCTATTTAGGCAGCACCTAAATACTCACCAGTGAACTGGGCAGAAATTTTAGGACCAAGAATGATGGTGCTTTGATCATAACCAGTGATGAAACAGTTACTTTTCTTACGCTGAAGCAGAGGAAGGATTAGAGCATCTTCTCCCTCCCCTGAATCCAACAAGATGACACAAAGAAAACTCTTCCACTAATAGTGTGGGGCATCAGGTTCTTTTGGGCAGAGGCATGTCAAGGTACTTCTGGGAAGAAGCCCCTCAAGGGTGTTTTACTGGCTGCCCAGTGTCTCTCAGGTCATAGGTGTGCATCCGCACTTCTCCACTGACCTCTAGTCTGGAAGTTCTTACTCATGAGCAGCAATTACAGAACAGGAGGGCAAAGGAGCACTGTGTGCTTACCCAAGGTTCTCCAACTGTAGTGACCCTCAACAAATCTGTTCTAAGAATGAAGCCATCTGAGTAATGACCCATGCTAATTACAGCTGGAACAAAAACAGATGCATAAGGCACCTCTTGGATACCTGTGGGCAGAAATGCTTTGTCCTATAACCCTGTCAGACCACTGATAAAACTGCATCCCAAACCCAGCTGGAAAACCTCCTGTTCTGATGGTTGATTATTTTTCTCCCCCTCTAATTTTCAACCTGAATGTGTTCACAGGGCATTTGTTCTCTTGCTGTCATGCCAGCATTACCCTTTTGCTTCAGCAGTTTTGTTTGTCTCCTGTGATATATTTAGAGAGCAATTCTATCCGCTCTCTGCCCACATTTGGCCAGGCTAAACAAGCCAGGCTCTTAAGTTTCTTCTTGTTTGATAGGTTTTCTGTTTCCCCGAGGCCCTTTCTGCACCTGTTCATTTGAGTTTATCATTTATAAATGCGGGTGACCAGAGGCTTTTTTTGCATGCTGCTCCTGTCATCAATGCCTGTACAATAGCACTGGTATTTCACTGCCGAGTCTCCACAGCATTTGTTTTTCTTATCATCTCTGTGATCCCTAAAGCAACTGGAGCAGTTATTTTTCCTAACTTTACTGTGAATATGCAGAATTGTTAGCTAAATTGGGTCAGCTAAATAAACACCTCTCCTCTCTCACTGTCTCATTCCTGGTAACATGGGGAGGAGCTGAAGTCACCATAGAATAAGTCTGTGCATGTTAATGCTTTAAACCGGTGTCTTGTCCCCAGGGGCAAGCTTTTTCCATGAGGGCTGGAAAGCTCTTTTTACTACATCTATGTGCTGGACAATGTAAGTGTGCCAGAAGGAGGGAACTGTCATTCCTCTTAGCACCAGTGAATTCCCAGCCTCAGCTCCAGCGACCAGAGGACTGGGTTGATGCAGGGGTGGACATGATGCAGGGCTCAGAAGAAGGGTGCAGAGCCCCACAGCCTGGGTTTGACCTGTGGGTGCTTGTGGCTGTATCTGCAGCCCGGCTGCTCTTCAGTTTTTCCAGAGCTAGTCTTCTGCTGCCCTACTTTTATGATTCACCCAGAAGTAGGGAATGCTTCCCTCTGCCTGGCGCTGCGGAGGAGCAGCCTCTCTCTGCTGCTCCCAGCTTGAAGGGAAGTGGTTTTCATACCCCCTGTCTCCTTCCCAGCCTGCCGCTCCGGCTCCGTGGATCTGGCTGTACTGAGCTGTCAGCTCCCTGCCTTTCCACACATCGCTGAACCCTCTGCCAGGCTTTCCAGCTATAAATGGACGTGGCCTTTTCCAGCCCCACCACCCCCCTGACACCAAGAGATGTTGCAGGAAATCGAAGCTGGGCCAGGCTTCCTCTGAATTAGGAGAACAGACAATCCAACCACTGGCTTTTTGTAGGTTCTCTGGAAGCATTGTGTCTGCCTTTGGGGAGATGTCTGTGCCCCGGAGAGGGCTGTGCTGCTGAACTGATTGTTTACACTGAGTGCAAAGCTGGGGCAGACATACAGGAGCTATCTCCAGCCCCATGTGCATCACCCTACAAACAAAGCACCATCTGATCTGAGCACTCTGTCTCAAGGGAAGTCCAATGTTTTTGTTACTGACTGCATCCTGCCTCCACATCCGTATTAGGCACTAATAACAGAAGCCTTGCTTTTGCACATCGTGAACAACCCCCTTTTGCCTCCTTTTGGGATTAATGGCCAAGATCATGGGACCTTTTAAGCCTTATTGCCTTCTCTCTCCTCTGGGAGGCAGGGAGGATCAGTATCTTCTCATTCAGCCGGGAGCTGAGCCCTGAAGTATGCAGAACAAGGTGACTCAGGGAGTCAGTGGCTGCCCTGAATTTTAAACCGAAGTCTTCTGTGTCATCTGGAGTAGAGTGGTCCCCTCCATCAGACCTGCAGGCATCCAGGCCGTTCATTTCATGTAGAGTACAGGTCTCTATTTAGAAGAGTAATTTGTACTCTCATGTTGAAAAATTGTAGTCTGAAAGTCTCCTGGTTCACGTGTTTCACAGAAGCTGCTGGGCCAGGATCCAGTCTGGTGACCTTTTGCTTGCAGCAGTGGGTTTGCAACCTTTGGGCTTAGACAGCAACACCTGAAGCAGCTGCTTAAGAGGCTTCCTCACCTCCTGGCAATCCTCCCTCAAAATCCTTCAGGCTGTGAATAAGGGAATGTAGAATATTCAAAAGGTGCAAGCCTGGCTTATGGTTGCCCAGTATCCTGCTGCTTGCAGTTCTGCTTCTGGTTCAGTTTTTGCTGCGGCAGCAGATGCTGTCTGACACTTTTTTCTGTGCAGGATGCCTGGTATCCTCAGTTTTCTTCACTCAGTGGTTGGGTTGTGTTGCCTTTTGTATGGGTTGGTGAAGTTGTTACCTGGGCAGTGTTCAATAGACAATGCACAGGAATAAATCTGTTCTCTTTTTAGATGAGCTGAAGAATAACCCTGGTATAACCTGGGTTATTCCCAAGTTTTTATTTATTTGAATTTATTATATTTATATAAATAATTATACAATTTATACAAAATTATATTTATTTATATTTATTATAAAAACCAGGTATTTATATTACCTGGTAGCAGGTAATAACCCTGACTAGGCTATTACACAGGGGTTATGGTTCACTGAAACCTTCGATCTGCCTTTCTTCTGGGATTGCAGGCAATATTTTGCAAGAAACAGATGAGGGATAATGAAATGCCTCCTTCACCCTTCCCCATGCCATCGAGGTGCTGTGTGTCAGGGGTACGCTGAGCTCTGGGAATAAACGAAATGAAGATATTGTGTGCAGTTGTAGCTGCCTGATGCTCTTTCCTGTGGTAGGCTCTGCTGAAGCTGAGCCAGGCAACAGATCCTGCCGGTTTGCCAGCTCAACTCGGAGTGCGTCAGGGTAAACTTGGCTGGGATGAGTTCTGCTGCTTTATCTCTCCCAGATGTTCAGGGAAGCTCGTTACCCCAATTCTGCTTGGCCTTATGCAATCCACCTTCTGCTGAACACTTAATTCTCAGTTAGCTCTTCACCAAAGCCGTGGACACGTAGGAGGATGTTTTCTGAGGTTTGCTGGCTATAGGCCTCTGTCCCTCTGATTCTGGAACTCGAAGCCTGGTTGGGGTTTTGCTCATAACATCTACTCCCCATAGTTTATCCCCCTCTCCTTCCCATTCTTGTATGTACTTGGCTGGATTGGAAACGTTGGTTTCCACAATTCACATCAGATGTGCCTGGGATGGTTATTTGCTGAGCATCCTTGTAGCCCTTAAACCTTGCCCTGGACTCTGCACTTCTGACTGAGTCCTCGGTGGAGCTGTGCATGGGAGTATGTTTCTATCACCTGGCACTGACAGGTTCTTTCAGGGATCAGGCAGAATCATTACGGCATTAAATCATAGTTACAATTAAAGCTTTATTTTCATACCAGGCTCCTGGCACCTGGGAATCTTGAGATAGGGAGGGAGAGGAAGAAGAAACCTGTTTGGTTTGTCTAATTGGTGCACAGGACCTTCAGGACCTGATAATGAGGAGAAGGGAAAGAGCACCCGACCCGATGGGTCACAGAGAATGGCTGCTTCCCCCATAGAATGGTGTTAGTCGTGGCTGGGGCTCGGGAGCAGGAGAACTGGTCCCAGCATCTTCCTTAGGACTGCTCCTGTCAGAACAGCCTCCCCGTGGGCAGATCTAGGGTTGCTGTCACATTGTTCTGTGACACCGGTATTTGTTGGCACAACCTGTTAAGGCTGCTGTTGGAGGATACTGTCTTAGGGTGCTTTAACCTCTCTGCTAGTTCAGGTGCTTTGCAGAACACTTGCAGTGGTGGTGTCTCTTGGGTTGACTTGTCCACATCATTCATGAGAGCTTCTTGTTGGCTGATTTCACAACCGGTGGTTCGGACTGCACCAGGATCCTCCACAAATGCCAGGGCAAGACACTGGTTCAGACAGTGGGGTGTGAGTACAAACTGGTGTGCTGCTAACCTCATTGCAGCGATGGGGTGTGGAGTGTGGCCATCCTACTGCTGTAATGATTGTGCTACCACATACACAGCATTGAGGCTGTGCCTGGCAAAGCCTGTGGTGTATCTGGTACAGGTACCTACCTTTGCATGGCCCTGTGTCAGCACAAGTTCAGGTGCAGACCACAGGTGTTACAGCTCCACAGCTCCTTGCATTAGGCCATTGTAGCATATCCCATGAGATGGGGCATTCCTGGTCACTGTGCTTAGAGCACTCCTTGCCAAATGTCATGCTTTGCAATCCAGCAAAGCTCTGATACCTGC